ACTTTCTTGAAAGGTGTTGTGTAATACTTTGAACAATACAATACAAAAACTGAAGGATGGTACAATAGTGATCATTCATTTCATTCTTGCATTATCCTTCTAGGCAATTACCTCATTTTACATTTTTTGAATTAATCTAATCTTTTTCAACAGATAAAAATAATTGATGTATAATGATGAAATAATTACTAGGATAATGAATAGCAGTATATTTCAAGGTATAGGAAAAAAGATGGCTAGGATCTCATAATGTATGGGTACAGTAGAACCATAAGATACTTGCAAGTAAGAATGTATTTTATTCTATAAAAAAAAAAAGATAAAATTTGTCTTTGATTTGGAAGACTGCTAACAACAAAAAAAAAATAGTCATGAAATAACAATCCTTACAAATAGTTAGAACTATTGAAAAAGTAAACTCAAAAACCAAAATCAAATCCAGTGGATTCTGCTGTTATATCAAGAAACGAGGATGGAATATCTTTTTACCTTTTTTGAAGATGCTTCATTAAGGTTTGGTTTTCATTTTTAAGTTTTTTTGTTATTGTTCTTGTTTTTAATGTTCTCTGCGTTATTTCCCCCTCACAAATTAAGGGTTTTTCCCCCCTCCCTTCCTTCTTCTCTCTCTCCTTTTCTTCTCCCTTTCCCTACCCATTTCTCTCCCCCGTTATCTCCCTTCTGTACCTCTCTCACCCTCTGTTCTTCTCTCCTCCTCCCTCTTTTTTTCTTTCTTTTTTTCTTTTTCTTTTCTCTTTCTTTTCCCCCCTCCCTCCCTCCCTCCTTCCTTTTTCCTCTCCATATTTGCTCTTATGTCTGGTAATTGCTGTCTTTTTATGTGAGTAGTTAAGAATGTAGGGATAGTTTATTTTAGGTTTGGTTATTTGTCTCCTTTACTTTGTATATACGTAGTATGTTTTTCCAACATGCTCTGCTCCTAGATTGAGAAATCTGATAGAGACTTAATAGTACTTGCATAGGGCATGTTGATTGAAAGTGTCAGTCTAGGGTGGGTGGGAAGAGAACTGCCTATCAAGCTGTAGGCTCCTTAATGTAATGATGAGAAGGGGTTTATTCTGGATGTTAACACCCACAAGAGAAGTCTTACCACTTCTCAGTTAATCGGGGCATCTTCCTTGGAAACGAACCTGTGTTCCTGGAAGGGATGTTGTTAAATACTAAAATACTGGGCCTGGCTGTTTAAAGTCCTTCTCAGGGGAGTGGAGAGTCAGAGTGCATACTCATTGAATTGCTTTTTCTGTGTGTAAACTTACACTTAGTCTGCTGATTTAAGCCCTGTTTTTCACTCCTACCCTTTATCCTGGTGGTTACCAACTTCACTCGAGCTACCTTGTAGTATTTTCTGGATTATGACCTCCTCTGTTCATTTTATTTCTTAATTATTTGCTTTCCTGTCTTCCTGAAATAAGTTAATATCTTCTCCTTCTCTCCTTCACTATTTTGGGTTTTTCCATTCTGTCTTTATATCATCATTACTGTAAAGGACAGAAAATCAATGCATTTTCTTAGTGTGTAATATTCTGAAACATACATATTAACAGGCAGCATCAAATTCTATCAAACATTTAAAGAAGATTGAATAATAGTTCTTTTCAAACTTTTTCAAAAAACTGAAGAGGAAGGAATACTTCCAAACTTATTTTATGAGACCAGCATCACCCTGATACCAAAGCCAGACAAAGACACTACAAAAAAAGAAAACTACAGGCCAATATTCCTTATGAACACAGATGCAAAAATTCTTAGCAAAATACTAGTAAAAACAAAAGGGAACAGCACATTAAAAAGATTATTTACCGTGATCAAATGAGATTCATCCCAGGGATACAAGGATGGTTCAACATGTGTAAATCAGTAAATGTGATATATCACATTATCAGAATGAAGTTCAAAAACCATATGATCATTTTAATAGATGCATAAAAAGTATTTGACAAAATTCAGCCTTTTATGATAAAAACTCTCACTAAGCATACAGGGTACTTCAAAAAGTTTGTGAACAAAAATAATTAATATGAATCTTTCCATGAACTTCTTAAAATAACCTTGTAGAAATAATATGCCTCAGCATAATAAAGTTCGTATATGACAAGACCACATCTAACATCATACTCAGCAGTGAAGCTAAAGTTTTTCCTTTAAGATCAGGAACAAGACAAGGATGCCCACTCTTGCCATTTCTGTTCTATATAGTACTGGAAGTCCTAGCCAGAGCAATTAGGTGAGTGAAAGAAATGAAAGACATTCAGATTGGAAAGGAAGAAGTTAGATTGTCTTTCTTTGCAGACAACATGATATTGTACATAGAAAACCCTAAGACTCCATGAGAAAATGTTAGAACTAATAAATAAATTCAGCCAGAATTGCAGAATACAAAATCGACATACAAAGTCAGTAGTGTTTCTATACACTAACAGCGAACTATCTGAAAAATCAAGACAACAATCCTGTTTATAATAGTTACAAAAACAATAAAATACTTAGTAATACATTTAACCAAGGAGGTGAAAGATCTTTGCACTGAAAACTATAAACCATTTGTGAAAGAAATTGAAGAAGACCCAAATAAATGGAAAAATACTCCGTGTTCACAGATTAGAAGAACTTATGTTGTTAAAATATCTATACTCCCTGAGTAATCTACAGATTCAGTGAAATTCCTGTCAAAATATCAATGACATTCTTCACAGAAATAGAAAAAAAAATTCTAAAATTTGTGCAGAACTGTAAAAGGCCCCTAATAACCAAAGCAATCTTGAACAAAAACAAAACCAGCTGACTTCAAAATATACTATGGAACTATAGTAACCAAAATAGTGTGGTAATGACATAAAAACAAACACAGACCAATGGAACAGAATAAAGAGCACAGAAATAAGTCTAGGCATTTACAGCCAACTGATTTTTAACAAAGGTGCCAAGACCACAATGGGAAAAGGACAGTTTCTTAAATAAATGGTATTGGGAAAACTGAATATTCACATGCAAAATAATGAAATTAGGCCCTTATCTTACATCACATATAAAAATCAACTCAAAATGGATTGAAGACTTAAATGTAAGACCTGAAACTATGAAACTCCTGGAAGAAAATGTATGGGAAAAGTTCCATAACATTGGTCTGGGCAGTAATTTTTTTGGATGTGACCTCAAAAGCACAGGCAACAGAAGCAAAAATAGACAAATGGGATTATATCAGATTAAAAAGCTCTGCACAGCCAAGTAAATAATCAATAGAGTGAAGAGAAAACCTACAGAATGGTAGAAAATTTTTGCAAACAGTATGTCCGATAAGGGGTTAATGTGCAAAATATATAAGGAATTCAATTTGATAGCGAAGGAACAATCCAGTTTAAAAATGGGCAAATGACCTGAATACACATTTCTCAGAAGACATGCAAATGTCCAACAGGTGTATGAAAAAAATGCTCAATATCACTAATCATGAGGGAAATCTAAATTAAAACCATAATGAGATAATACCTGTTAGAATGGCTGTTATCAAAAATATGAAGATAACAAGGGTTAGTGGGGATGTGGCGAAAAGGGAACCCTCACACACTCTTGATGGGAATGTAAAGCAGTACAGCCATTACGGAAAACAGTATGGAGGTTCCTCAAAAAATTAAACAGAACGTATGACCCAGAAATCCCACTACTGAGTATATATCTAAAGGAATTGAAGTCAGTGTGTGAAGGAGATATCAGCATTTCCATGTTCATTGCAGCATTATTCGCAGTAGCCAAGATATGGAATCAACCAAGTGTCCATCAGTGGATGAATGGACAACAAAATGTGGTATATGTACACAATGGAGTACTAGTCAGCCATAAGAAAAGATGGAAGTTCTGTCATTTGTGGCAACGTTGATGAACCTGGAGGATATTATGTTAAGTGAAATAAGCCAGGTACAGAAAGACAAATACCACATGAAAGTGCTCATGTGGAATTTTAAAAAGTTGATCTCATAGAAGTAGAGACTAGAATGATGTTTACCAGGGCTGTAGAGGTTGAGGAAAGGGTTGGAGAGATGTTGGTCAGAGGAGACAAAATTTTAGTTAGGAGGAATAAGTTCAGGAGATGTACTGTACTATGCAGTAACTATAGTTAACAGTATGTTACATTCAGTGGTAAAGTGTTCTCACCACAAAAATAATAACTGTGAGGTAATTCATATATTAATTAGCTATATTTAGTAATTCTATAATGTATATATACTTCAAAACAATGTGTTATACATGGTAAATACAATTTTTCTGTGAATTAAAAAAATTGATTTTTAATTTTTAAAAATAAAAACCTCTGTTATAGTTTTTCCTCCCACCAGTGTTTTAAGTTACTGTTTTCATGGTTACCCAAATATTACATTTTTTGCCAGTTTAAATTATATAAAATACCCCTCTTTTGTTCTAATGTATAATGTTTTATAGGTGACTAGCAAGAGTCACCATTTTCCCCTTTTGAGTTTTTTGTTATTTCGTAGTTTTCTATGAATTGTTTCTTTCTTTGTGTTGTAAAACCTCAGGTTTTTAAAACAATTTTCGTAGGACCTTTATGCAGTATAGATATGACTTTTAGTCACATTTGCTGCAAATATCTTAGTCTTCTGTTTTCAGTCTGAATTTAATGTTTATTTTATAATTTATATTTTATTTATTTGAATATTTATTTGCTTCAGAGGTTTCTAAACATTGATGTAATAAAAAAAGTTATTAGCTCTGCAGACAGCTTACATTAGGTAGGAGTTTTTTAGTTTTGTTTTACTAAACTTTCTAAAATTAATTTTTTTGGAACACTTTTGGGAAGTAATTTAATAGTGCTTATTGAGAGCCAAGAAATTGTCTTTGTGTTTTGATCCTCTTCTTAGAAGACTTAATTAAAGGGAAGAATAAAGTTTGTTTGGTGTTTTGAAGTAAGCAAATTCTTATTTTATCAAATGTTTAAAATATAAAAGTCAAGTAAAATATTTTTTGTCTTCCAGATTATTGTTCAGTTGTAACGATTGTGGACCAGACAAATGTAAAGTTAACATGCCTGCTCTTTAGTGGAAACTATGAAGCCCTTCCAATAATTTATAAAAATGGAGATATTGTTCGCTTTCACAGGCTGAAGGTATAATTCCTACTGTCTAGAACACATATTTGTTTGAAGAGAACCATGTATTGTTCACTAGAGCAAGTTAGCGCTAATTATGTGCTGCTTTGTTAGAACATGACATCAAACATTTCAGGAGATAAGAAGTGTAAATAGTATCAGACTTTAAATAATTTATAGTGGGAAACCTCTTTGTTTGAAACTGCCTGTCCTTCCCCAGAAATGTATTAGATGCCATGATTCAGACTAGTTGTATTAGTCTATTTCTGTTGCTTATAACAAAATACCTGGAACTGGGTAATTGTTAAAGAAGATGAAATTTATTGCTTACAGTTTCAAAGGCCAGGAAGTCCAAAGTCCAGGGAACATATCTGGTGAAGGTGTTGGTCGTGACAGTGACATAGGAGTCTCACACGGCAGAATGGCTGAGAAGAGAGAAAGATAGCTTCTCATGTGCTATCCTCTAAAAGCCCTCAGAACCACGCCTGTGACCACCATTAAACCATCAACTTATTATTCCATTAACTAGGGCATGGTCCTTATAATCTAATCACCTCTTCAAGGTTCTGCCTTTTGGGCCAGCCCGGTGGCGCACTGCTACAGTGCGCCACTTGGGAAGTGTGGCGGCGCTCCCGCCGAGGTTTCGGATCCCACATGCAGACCGGCCGCTCACTGGCTGAGCGAGGAGCGGGGGCAACACCGAGGGTTGCGATCCCGTTGCCGGTCCTGGTCCAGTACGGGCGCAACACTGAGGGTTGCGATCCGTTGCCGGTCACGAAAAAAGACAAAAAGACAAAAAAAAATTAAAAAAAAAAAAAAAAAAAGGTTCTGCCTTTCAATTACCATAATAGGGTTTCCCATCCTCAACAGTTACAGTGGGGATTAAGCTTCAGTGACTTTGGGGGGCCATTGAGTCCACTGCACTAGTTCTATTCTGTTTTCTCACTTCCAAATATAGGTTGATGCTGTAAAAGTTTTTCTTGTAGAGTTTGATAAAGAACATTTGGTTTTGTATTTTTTTTTTTTAAGCCTTAGGTCAACAACAGAATTGTACAAAGATGAGGAGATTATATTATTCTTTCCTGTTTATTGTATTAATTTAAGTGCAATGAAAACATTGAGCTATTAAGTATAAAATCAAATTAAGTTAATCTTTATTTATGAGAAATGTGTTACAATATGAACAGGTACTTTTAAAATTATGCTTCCAGTTAAATTAAGTGTAAAAAAACCTGTTAAGGCAGAGCTATTAATTAGTATGTGTTTCTTTAAATAAGAATTTTAGAACTTAAGTTTGCAAAGGATTGTTGTTTCCTCAAAATTATTATCCTGTTGCTGTAATATTTTTTAATTGAGCTTTTTTTTTTAATTGCCACAAAATAATTGTACGTATTTATGAGGTATGTGTGACATTTCGATACATATTTACAGTGATCAAATCAGGATAATTGGCATATTTGTCACTTCATAATTGAAGTTTTTTTGTTCAATGCAATTTTTAAACTTTCCTTTGGGAATTACTACATGATGCTCTGGACATTCAGATGAGACAGCACAAAGGCCCAACTTACAAAGTACCTCACCTCACAAGAGACCACATCCTAGAGTAAAGCCCACTCTAAACAAGTTCTATCAAAGCCTTTAACAAGTTCTACAGAGAAGACAGAGTTTGCAGGGTGAGTCCCACCAAGGTAGAAAGACTTTGGGAAACACCATGGGCTGTCCGTAGATTCTCCCTAACAAAGCATAAAATCAGGCCTTTGTGAGTTTATGGTGATCAGCTGGCAGCTGGAAAGCCACCAAAAACAAAAATCAGTGTCCATCAGAAGAAGGTAACATAATTCAGAGTCTTTACAAAGTAGCATCCATGTCTAGTAAAAAAAAAAAAAACTACATATAAAAATGAAAAAATATTACCCATAGTCAATTAAAAAAGTATACATTTCTGACAGACTTCACAGTGACCCAGATGTTGGGTTATTAAACAAAAATGTTAAAGCAGTAATATAAATATTTTCAGAGAATTAAGCAAAATTTGTTCAGTAAATTAAAAGAAAATGTTAAATGAACGAAAAGATAAGAAATTTTAGCAGAGGAGGGGAAACAAATTTTTTTTAAAAAGTAGAAATTCCATAATTGAAAAGAACAACAAGTGAAATTAAAAATCTCCTGGATGGGCTAAAGAGCAGATAAGATGTGTCATATGAACTTGAAGATAGATCAGTAGCAGTTATCTCATCTGAAGGAAAAGGATTAAATAAAAATGAATAGACCCTAAGGGACCTGTGGAACAATATCAAATGGTGTAACATGTAATTTGAGATTTCAGGAAAAGAGAATGTGAATAGGAAAAAAATATTTATAGAAATAAGGACCAGAATTTTTCCCAATTTGATGAAAAAAAATTGACTTTAATGCACTTTATGCAGGGTACACACAAAAAGCACGTGGTGGAACCACTGGGAAACAAAGATAAAGAAGAATCTTGAAATCATTTGGAGGATAAATGATGTATTCCATGTAGGAATGTTTCTTACTGGAAACAGTGGAATCTAAGGAACATAGCAATGATAATTTTTAAATGTTTATAGAAAAAAATTTATTTGCCCAGAATTTTACATCCAGCAAAAATATCCTTCAGAAAAGAGAGTAAAATGAAAACATTTTTCTATGAAAGGAAAAGAGAGACTCCATGGCCAGGATATCTGCATACAAGAAATGCTAAAGGATAGTATTCATGGCAAAGAGGAATGCTGCCAACTAGAAACTCAATAGTTAGGAAGTGACAAATCACAAAAAGTGATTAAAAACATGAGTAAATGTGAAAGACAGTGTTAATTTGTTCTCATAATTTCATTAAGACAAATGATCATTGGCAAAAAGTGGGGTTTATAAAATATGTTGGAAAAATATGACAATAGTAACATCAAAGATGGCTGGAATAATTAAATGGAATCAGACCATTGAAAAGTTTTTATATTCATGAAGTAGAAAATGTAAAACAGGAAGTGGGAAATATTAATGTAAAGTAGGAAGTATATAGTAGAACAATACTGATTCCAAATAGACTTTGAAAAGTTAAGAATTTAATTCATAACTACAAGGAAGTAAATGGAACACTAATAAGAATTCCAAAAGAAGATAAGAAAGGAATAGTAGAAAAACAATTTTTAAAAAGCAAAAAAACAAGGAGTAGGGAACAAAAGGAAAGCAAACATAGTAGACTTGAATACAACCTTATTAATAACTATGTTTATATAATGGACTTAATGCTCCAATTGTAAGGAAAGGATTGACTGAATGAAAAATCAAGAACCAAGCAGATGCTACATACAAGAAATGCACTTTAAATATGAAAATTTAAACAAGTTGGAATTAAAACTGTAGAAAAAATATACCAAACAAAAAGTAAATAAGGAAAGTGAAATAACTGTATTACTATCAGACAAAGACTTTTACAAAAGATTAAAAAAGCAGGGAGGGAGCATTTCGTAAGGAGAAAGGGTCTCTTCAGGAAGAGGATGTGACAGTCTTAAATGTATGTGCATCTAAATGAATGAACCTCAGAATTCAGAAGGCAAAATAGCTTATGGCATATCTCAGCGCTCTCAGTCACACTGATTAAATCTTAGCCTCTGTTGTGCTTTATTCACTTCACACTCTCATATTTTAAGTGTTCTAGTTTTCCCTATTACACTCAAACTGTCACTTATCCTTTTTCCTTGTGTAAGTTATGCCTTAGTAAAAAACTAATAAATAAAATATAAAAATTGCAAGTTTGATAGGATTAGGGAGACTACCACCCAGCTCTTTAGAAAATATCAATAAATTTTGCATAGTGGTTTACAGTTTACATGACCCTTGTGTATCTTGATATAGCGCCAGTTGATTTTATAATGCTATATGCTAATTAAATGAACAATAGTAAAGAATTATGCCCTCTTATTAATTATGCTGGCAAAATTTATAGTCTCAGAAGTTTCTTCAGTTTCTGGGTTCTGTATCAGTAAGCTGTTTTGTTTGTATCTGTTTTCTACTTTCCTCCATTTTCTTAGATCCAAGAATATAAAAAGGAGACTCAGGGTATCACCAGTTCTGGTTTTGCATCTTTGACATTTGAGGGAACTTTGGGAGCACCTGTAATACCTCGTACTTCAAGCAAATATTTTAACTTCACTGCTGAGGACCACAAAATGGTAGAAGCTTTACGTGTTTGGGCATCTACTCATATTTCACCTTCTTGGACATTACTAAAATTGTGTGATGTTCAGCCAATGCAATATTTTGATCTGACCTGTCAACTCTTGGGCAAAGCAGAAGTGGATGGAGCATCATTTCTTCTAAAGGTACATATATTTAAATACTCGAAATTGTAAGTTTGCATCACCTACATATCTACAAAGAGCTTATATTTCCACATTCTGATGGAATAAATATGCATACTAAGTATTATACTAAGAACTTAAAATTTAACTTAATGTTATTTTTTTTTTTTTTTTTTGTCTTTTTCCGTGTCCGGCAACGGATCGCAACCCTCAGTGTTGCCTCCGTACCGGACCGGGGACCGGCAACGGGATCACAACCCTCGGTGTTGCTCCCGCGCCTCGCTCAGCCAGTGAGCGGGAACCGGTCTGCATGTGGGATCCGAACCCTCGGGCGGGAGCGCCGCCGCGCTTCCCAAGCGGCGCACTATCCAGTGTGCCCCCGGGCCAGCCCAACTTAATGTTATTTTTTTTTTTTTTTTGTCTTTTTCCGTGTCCGGCAACGGATCGCAACCCTCAGTGTTGCCTCCGTACCGGACCGGGGACCGGCAACGGGATCACAACCCTCGGTGTTGCTCCCGCGCCTCGCTCAGCCAGTGAGCGGGAACCGGTCTGCATGTGGGATCCGAACCCTCGGGCGGGAGCGCCGCCGCGCTTCCCAAGCGGCGCACTATCCAGTGTGCCCCCGGGCCAGCCCAACTTAATGTTATTTTTTTTTTTTTTTTGTCTTTTTCCGTGTCCGGCAACGGATCACAACCTCCGAACCCTCGGACGGGAGCGCCGCCGCGCTTCCCAAGTGGCGCACTATCCAGTGCGCCACCGGGCCAGCCCTTAATGTTATTTTTGATGAGCCTGATGCAGCTCTACTCTTGCACTTCTCTTCTTTATACTTTCCTTCCAGAGAAAAATAGTATTATTAGATCTATATTTTAAATGTAGTATGGTTTATGGTATATTTATTTATGTATTTCTTACTTCCATAGTAATAAAATATAGACTTGTTTTCTATTGTTATTCATATGTAGAAGTGCAAATAAAAAATATTTCTGCTTCCCTGTCAAGGTCACTTACCTTCCTTCTCAATCATTTACTTGGGGCCATTGATGTTGGGTTCTCTTCCCATGTCTTTCACTGCCTGCTTCATGGGTACTGTTTCATCCCACTGAACCTGTGACTCTAGTTGCCCAAAAAGCAGCCACAGGGGAGTTCCTACAAGGGAGTACCCAAAACCATCCCAAGGTGGGACCAGTTAGGATTCTAAAGAAAGAAGCAGTGAACGCCATGTGGTCAGCCCAAAGCATTTATTAGGGGAACCTACTTGCAGAGCATTGCAGTGTATTCTTATGATGGACAGTGAGAGCAAAGGGATATTCTACCTAGGTATGTCAGCAATGAGGGGTCAGTATATGGAGTTTATATTAGAGTTTAAAGAATTTTGCTCAAGACCAGGGCCATTTTCTTTCAGTGTTTTGAGCAACAACCTAGATAACCTTAATAAGTGGGAATATCAAGGTGCCAGTTTAGCCTCAGTCTTGCCGGGAAAAACTGCAGCTGGCTGGGTCTCAGAGCGGTCAAAGCACTCTGTGATTTTTCGGTCAGGACACAGAAAAAAAGTGGGGAGAAGGGGACTTGGGACATCCCACTGGTAGGGTGTGGATAGTTTTAAAGCATTTATTGTTATTCTTGTTTTGTTTTTAAATCTGCAAGATGAAAAAAACATAAGGCCCATTTAATCTTTGTTTATACCTATCCCAGTTAAGCTCATGAATAAGTTCTGGAGAAAATGGTTGGTTGATATTTTCTTTGCCCTAAATACTATTGTTTCAGAGAGAAACTAACTGTATTATAGATTATTAAGAATATAATGTTAAGGAGACTAGATTGAAGCATATGACCAGAGATATACTCAAAGACCTTGAATGTGTTTGAGAACAAGAAAAAGATGGAAAAAGCATAGCATATTAGAATTAAGTTTTCAACTCAAGAAATTGAAAAAAGAAGTATAGAAAGGGGAAAGGAAGTCTTTCAATAAGGTATTAATTTTTGGATAGGTAATTTTGCCATTGTCTAAAACTTTAAAAGATAATTTAAATGATACATAATGAAAAGTTTCCCTCTTTGCCTCTCTCCCTTGTCCCCATCATCTCAGTTCTCTCCAAAAAATAAGTAACCACTGAAACTAGTTTCTTAAATATCTTTTCGGATATATTTTAGTGAATACGCAAATACATTTTTCCTCTTTTTATATACACGTGATAGCATACTATACACACTGCTCTGTGGTTGCTTTTTTCACTTAACTCTGTCATAGAGATTTTTCCACATCACCATCTAAACAGCTCCCTATTTTAGTTTCTCAGGGCTGCTATAACAAATTATCACAAACTGGGTGGCTTAAAACAACAGAAATATATTCTCTCATAGTTCTGGAGGCCAGATGTCTGCCATAAGGTGTCAGCAGGGCCATGCTCCCTTTGACGGTTCTAAGGGAAAATCCTTCCTTGTTTCTTCCTAGCTTCTTGTGGTTGTCAACATCCTTGGCTTTCCTTGCCTTGCCAGCCGCATTATTCCAATCTCGGCCTTTGTTTTCAAAAGTCTTTCTCTTTGTGTTTCTAAGCCCAAATTTTTCTCTCCCTATAAGGACAACAGTCATATTGAATTTAAGATTCACCCTAATCTAGAATGACCTCATGTTAACTAATTACATTTGCAGAGTTCCTATTTCCAAATAAATTTCACATTCACAGATTCCAAATGGATGTGGATTTTGGGGAGTGACTGCTCAACTGCTTTGTATTTCATCAAATGGATGTATGGCATGGTTTAATTTAACTTGCATACTATTGATGGGCTTTTAGGTCGTTGACTTAAACATTTGTCATCTCACATAAGTGCTCATAGATCTATGAAGATAAGTCCTAGAATTAATAAGTCAAGGAGTATGTGCGTTTTAAATTTGACAGCTCTTGCTAAGATACCCTCTACGGAGGCTGTGCCCCTTTGAACAACTCCTAGCCATGTGTAAAAGCACTTGTTTCCTAAAAGTAAGGTATGTAGGAATTGCTATATATAGTTAATGATTTTTTTAAGAAAGAAAAAGATAAAAATAGATCAAAAGCTTAAAAACAGTTTGGTTATTTAAATTTTAAGAAAGGTAAAAGAAAGGATTTTTTAAATTAAAAATGATGCAAGGAATACATCCACCTCTTATGCTGGTAAATATGAAAATCTAGATTAAGTTGATTATTTGTGCATATTTTAAATTGTTAAATTAACTATTATACTGGCTATAAATGCAGATGATGAACTCTTTCAAACTGAATTATACCGAAGGTAGACCGATATTGCACAACAATAAAACATCCCAGTTTTGTTCATAAATACAGAAATCAAAATATTATCAAACAGAATCAATAATATATTAAAAGGATAATACTTCTCAACTTCCTATGGGATGACATCGCAGTAAGCCCATAATAAGTTGAAAATATTGCAAGTAGAAAATGCATTTAATTCTCCTAACCTACTGAACATCATAACTTAGCCTAGTCTACCTTAAATGTGCTCAGAACACTTACATTAGATTACACTGGGCAAAATCATCTAATGCAAAGCCTGTTTTATGAGAAAGTGTTGACTGTCTCATGTAATCTATTGAATATACTGTACTAAAAGTGAAAAACAGAATAATTGTATGGGTACACTAAGTACAGTTTCCACTGAATGTGTATTGCTTTTGCCCTATGATATTGTCACAAAATTAAGTCAAACCATTGTAAGTCAGGGACTGGCTATACTATAGTACAGCACAGTTTATTTTTAGAATTCAGAAATGGTTTAATATTGGGAAAATTATTCAGTTATCTCCATGGATGTTAAAAATTTTATGATCAGCTCCGTGGACATTAGAAGTACTTGTGAAAACATTTAGCAAAACAGTATTAGAAATGTGCCTTCTTAAGTTGATAAACAATATCTTAAGCCAAACAAACAAAATTATTTACTGGTGAAATTTTAGAGTTATTAATGCTAGGAACAAGGCAGAAGTATCTACTCTCTTCTCTGTTATGTTCAGAAAGTCTCAGTGAATTTGATAAGATAAAAAGAAGAAATTAGAGATTTAACTATTAACAAAAAGGAAAAAAAAATCAGTATTCCTGAGATGTAAAAATATCAAACAATTAACTGAAAAGCTATTTGAATTAATAAAATTATTCAGTGAGATAACTAGTTTAAAACATTATTAAAATATAGCTTTTCTACATATCAGCAATAAATAGAGCATATAATTGAACCAAAGATCTTTCAGGGTGGCAGTGAAACCGTAAAACAAGAAAGTTCTTGCAAGAAATACCTGAACTTCTATGATAAAACTACAAAGCTTCACTGAGGAGCATAAAAGAAAACTCAAAGTATTAAACTTTTTAAGAATTTTTCCCAAAGTGTTTTTAAATAAAATGCAATTTTAATTAAAACCATATTTTTAATAGACTGTAATTCTGAAGTTTATTAGACAAAATAAATGCTCAAGAATAAAACAAGAAAGGCGTGGCAATGAGCACTAAGTAGGATTTCCGCATCAGATATTAAAATACATTATGAAACTACAGTAATTAAAGCTGTAGTAAGACTGATCAGTGGAAAAGATTAGGAACTTCAGAAACAGTCTTATATTGTACATGCAATAGTTCAGTACATGATAAAAATAACATTAACATTTCAAATTGGTCAAGGTTAGATTGTTAAATTGTAGTTGTTATCTATTTGAAAAAAAGAATACCTGTATATAATCACAAATGCTAAATAAATTGAGTTTTGATATGACATAAAAGTGCCAGATTTAAAATTTTATACATTCATAAGTATACATGATTTCTAGGCAATTAAAGCAAAAGCATAAAAGCAGTGTAACAACTCTCCATCCTCTCATGTCATCCCCAAAAGACTCTTGGACTGGTCTGTAAAATTCAAAATGTTAAAGTCACAAAAACACTGTACACAAAATTAAAGAATAAAGTCCAAGTGGAAAAAACTGCTTGTGATATATAATGTTACTGATTATGACATGATTGTCATTTGAAACTCACTACTGTACCAGCATTATTCAGTACCTCTTCTGTGACTTATCACTGATCTAATTGCTGCAGATTGGTGTCCCCCAAAACTTAGCTCCCACTATGACAGTGTAAAGAGGGCGGTAAATCCTATTATGGTAATTGAAAGATGGGGCCTTGAAGAGGTGTTTGGACGGTAGGACTATGCCGTAGTGAATGGATTAATAATGGTGGTCGGGGCATGGTTCTGAGGGCTTTAAAAGAGCACTTGAGATATTAGTCTCTGTCTGCTCTGCCATATTTTGCCATATGATATGCCTGGGTCATTGTTGCCAACACCAAGTCCTCTGAAACTAAGAAATAAATTTTGTTTTCTTATAAATCACCCAGTTTCAAATATTTTGTTATAAGCAACAGAAATGGACTAATACATTAATCCTCTCTATTAGTGTTTTCCATTTAAATAGCCTTTTTATTCTTGTCTAGCCAAACTCCTGACATGCAGATACATTTCTCACTTCATGCCACTCTCCTTTGTCATAGCCTTTTGTAGCACAGCATCAAGCCCAGTTCATCTCTTAAAACGCAGACACAGCACACGCTGGCTATGTCTTAAGGATGGGGTAGTGCACACTAGTCCTGTGCCCATGTTCCCATCATCTGTAGGTAGCTTACATGGCAATCCAACATTTCTTTTCTTTTTACGGCACCTGTTATTTTCATTCATTTGTATTCTTAGCCTCTAATAGAAACAAAATAGTCATATCTGTACTTTAAAGGACTTTTCTAAATCAGAGCAAAGTGAGACACTGACAAACATCAGAAAACATTCCTGACATTAGGCAAAGAATTTATCTTAAGAAAATTAGCAGAGATACTCACAAGTGTTTCTATTCAAGTTGGCAATTACTGAGTTATTTCATATAGGAAAAAGTTTGAAACAACACAACTAATAAAGGGATTAGTTAAATAAATTTGTGTTCATCCATACCCTGAAATAATATGAAAACATTGAAAATCATATTTTAGGTTAATATTTAAATTGCTTGATAAAGTGCTCAGTAATAAACTAAAGGAGAAAAGCAGAATATAAAGCCAGTTTGTGTGTGCATGTGTGTGTGTGTGTGTGTGCGTGTGTGTGTGTGTGTATAGAAGACAATATATTATAAATAACACAGAAGAAAAAAATGAAATAAAGTCAACAATGTATTGATATTTTGTTTATGCTCATAGCAGTGTGACTTTTTCTTCTTCTTTATATTCTTCTGCATTTTCCTCCATTACCCATAGTTCATATGTAGTCCTCTTAAAATCAGGAAATAATATATGTCATATTTGAAGTATTGCAGATATTTAGAGAGGCATATATTTAATTACTTTTAAGCATTACAGAAAATAAAACTCTTTTTAGCATTAGCAGTTTTTCAAAAAATTCATTAAACTTTCATCTACCCTCTTATGGCAGGTATGGGATGGCACCAGAACACCATTCCCATCTTGGAGAGTCTTAATACAAGACCTTGTTCTTGAAGGTGATTTAAGCCACATCCATCGGCTACAGAATCTGGCAATAGACATTTTAGTCTACGATAACCATGTTCAAGTGGCAAGATCTCTGAAGGTGATGTTGAGGAGCAAAAATGTTTGTTACTTATGTATTTATAAGTTTTGGTGATTTTTGGTCATATCAATTTTGATGATAAATGATTGCATTTATAGGAGTCTGTAAATTTGGATATTTGGAGTCTAGAAATTAACTTCAAATTTATTTTTTCCTTGAATTTGTGAGTTGCAAAATGTGGGTTTAAAATAAATTATTAAAAGATAAATTATAATGGTTTAATCAATTTTTTAATTAAATCTTTTCTGAATATCTTAAAGCCATACTCAATTTTACTGTGAAAATTGTAAAGAAATATTTTGTCATGTTATATATACTACTTTAAAATGACAAAGGGTATATAAAATATTGTTAACTTAAAGGTTAGGCTTTATAAATTGATTTGGTAAAATCTAGTTAGTAACTTAGTGCTCATTATTTTAAGAAATTGTTAAATCACCTCTAATATATTTTATAAATTGTATGTGCATGTGTACCGTATAGTTTATGGAATTTGTGATACAGTTTTTGAGATACAGTTTTATAGGCAAAAGTACACAGTTTAGATATGGCAGTTCTTATTAACACCACAAATTGTAGGGAATATTTTCTTCATTTCATTTTATCTTTTATTTGGAAGTGTCCTTTGTAATAAAGAACGGAATTGTAAATAATAATAACAAGGTAACATTTGCTAGGTACTAAATCTGTATTTGGTACTGTCCTTTGTGATAGGTGCCATTGTCATCCCATTTTACACATGGGAAGTGAGGCACTCAGAGGTTAAGTGAGTTCTCCAAGACTCCACAGCTAGTTGGATGAAGCCAGTGTTTGAATCTACAGTATCTTTTTTTTTTTTTTTTTCCTTTTTGTCTCTTTTTTTTTTCGTGTCCAGCAACGGATCCCAACCCTCAGTGTCGCACCCATACCGGACCGGGACCGGCAACGGGATCGCAACCCTCGGCGCTGCGCCCGCACCTCGCTCAGCTAGTGAGCGGGAACCGGTCTCTATGTGGGATCCGAACGCTCGGCGGGAGCACCACTGCGCTCCCAAGCGGCACACTGTAGCAGTGCGCCACCGGGCCGGCCCACAGTATCTTTTTTTTCAGAGCTAAAGGAAATGATCTTTATTGCAAATATCTTGCAGTCTACTTATAGGAAGTTAAAAGAAAGTAGTAAAAGTGAAGATCTGAATTTCAGTGCCTGGTTTCTCCTTCTAAATAAATGTCCATGGAGGAGAAAATATTTTCACTCTCACATTATGTAACAAATAAGCTTACCCAACTCAAATCAATAAATTATGTTAAAGCCAGTGCCCAGGAAGGTGATAACTGCACTTTATTGTCCTTTATAAGTGTGAATGCACATTATATATGTATACATGACATATCAGAAGAAATTGATTGTTGAAGATACATGTTTGATGTTTTTTCCTCAGAAAGATATTATATACATTGATTAGTCTATTTCAGAAGTGAAAATAATGATAAATCCATTTCTGAAGTTTTTTTTTTTTTTTTGTATACAGAGAGAGTTCTTTTATAAATGGAAAGGATTTACATTTTAGAGTCACCTCAGTTCCACACTCTGTTATCTGCTTTCACCATGTAATTCCCTTCTCTTTCCCATGCTGCTTCTATAGGTCTTTTTGTTTCCCCACTTGTCCTGCTTTTCCTGTCCAAGTCCTGAACAGCATTTAGCACAGTGCTCTCCATATAAAGGATGAAATAAATAATATCCGCTGCTGAATTAATGAATCATTGAGTGCTGTGAATTTCTTCCAGATTGTTTTTTTTCTTTTTTTGTCTACTCTTTTTATTGTCTGCTTTATCTTGCCCACTAGAGGGTGATATGAGCACACATAATTAAGAAAATAATATGGCACTTTGTTTCTCTCTGAAGATATTAGAGCTTTATATTATTTGCTGCAATGCATTATAAAAATGAAAAGGATTTTCTCTATGTCTAAGAAATATAACTTTAGACTTTTATTTAATGTACATTCACATTATAGTTATTTGTTTTCGGACAATTTCTATAACATCTCAGTCTAATTTAGGAAATCTTCAGTCATGACATTGATAGAAATGAATTCTTATCAACATTTCAAGAAAACTATTTAAAATTGCACTTTTGTATCAAAATACATGGAAACAATTCAAAAGATTTGTGTTACATTGGAGCAGAAAAAAATGTTTTTATTTTAATAAAAAGGACAGTTAATGCAATTATAAGGTATAATATCAAATTCTATAAACAATACGTTTTGTTTATAAACAATACACCCTAAATTGCCCTTAACTATTTTCTAAATCTTGCTTTGTAAGTATTGTCATTCCCTAAACATTTTATACAGACATATGCACACAAACTGACATTTCCAACCTTTTGTCTAGAAACCATATTTTTAAAATCCTATCTTATCCTGACAAAAGGTTTTTTTTAAATAGTTATAAAATATACATAGTCATAGTTACGTTTCGGCCTTCAGTGGCCCAACAACAGTGGTTTGGCTATTTTGAGACATATAAAGAGAATTAAAAATATTAAACTTAACAAGAAATTCTTGACAGTTTGGGGGCAATATTTTGATTATTTATAAAGATGATAGTGATTTTTGATAGCCATATTTGCTTTGTTTTTTTTTGCTTTTTTTTTTTTTTTAGTGTTTATGTATTGTAATGGACTTTTATCACAGTTTTTTAAATTATATTTTTATAATTTTTTAATCACAATTCCTTCATTTGTATTTTTGGAATCTTATCACATTACTAACCAGCCTAAGCAATATTTATTAGTCTTTTATAATAGAGCATCTGGCACATTTCATCATATATTTTATCAAGCTTTAAAGAAAATACTGTACAATGCTGCCTCCAGAAGGAATTTCTGATAATAACAATTTATCATCTTTATTCTATAGTCTATGAATTTTATGTTGGCCTTTAAGTTTTGTTTTGTTATGAAATACAATAGTGGAGAAGATAATATAATACATACCCAAGTACGCACCATTTAAATATTTCTAAACATTTTGCCACATTTATTCCAGGTGCTTATAATTTTTAAGAAATAAAATTCTACACATTGAACCTTCTTTGTACTCCTGCCTGACCTCATTTTTTTTTTTTGATCCCCAGTCTTCTCTCTATCTCAACATGTAGGTATGCACACTTGTGTTTATTATGCTGTTACTTTATGTACTTTTCAATAGGGCAAAGCCTCCTCCACCTCCTATTTTTTAAAATTAACTATTCTCTTTGATGTAAATTTTTGGATTACCTTTTCAAATTCCATGAAAGACATTGGAGATTTTGACTGGAATTGCATTGAATTTAAAATTAATTTAGAGGAATTATCATTTTTTTTCCTTTTTGTCTTTTTTGCTGACCGGTAACGGGATCGCAACCCTCGGTGTTGTGCAATCTTTGATGTAAATTTTTGGATTACCTTTTCAAATTCCATGAAAGACATTGAAGATTTTGACTGGAATTGCATTGAATTTAAAATTAATTTAGAGGAATTATCATTTTTTTTTTTCCTTTTTGTCTTTTTTGCTAACCGGTAACGGGATCGCAACCCTCGGTGTTGTGCCCGCACCGCGCTCAGCCAGTGAGCGGGAACTGGTCTCCACATGGGATCCGAACCCTCAGCAGGAGCGCCGCCGCGCTCCCAAGTGGCGCACTCTCCAGTGCGCCACCGGGCCGGCCCAGGAATTATCATTTTTATAGTATTGAGGCTTTCGTCTGTGAATATGGTATCTTTCTCCATGCATTTAGGCCTTCTTTCAAATCCTTTGTGGATCGTATACATCATAAAATAATAAACATTCAAAAGAATGAAGTAAAAATAGAAATTTTTATATTTTCTTCTAGTGTCTCAACTTTGGAGACCATGAGGAAAATGAGCTTTATCTTCTTTTTTATTTCTTTCTGTGCTTTTTTTCCATGACTTGTTTTATTCTTTGCCATGATGTAGATATAAGTGAAAAAAGCCTCGGAGAAGAAGACAGCAAATATAGATACCTTACCTCCTCCTCATAAAACCCAAGATTCGATGGGGAAAAAAAGACCCTTGGGAATGAAAGAGTCGCATCTGGGAGTGTGGATGTTTCTTCCCCCCTTACATTCTTTACTCATGTCCCACCTGCATCAGAGCTAGAGAGGGATGAGGATAAATATAATTGAGAGAAGCTGCAATAAGCAAATACGGAAAGTTGATCTGCTCATCTTTTTAAAAAATATCCTCCCTCATAAAGCTTTCTTATTACATAGGATGTCACCACTCTTATTCAGTCCTGAACCTGTAACAAAAAAAGAGAATGGTAGTCCCACAATCATCCAGCAGTCAGCAGTGTAGTTTTAGTGTGAATGAATTAAATTTCCTGGTTTGTAACTCCTTTTGTTCATAAATCTTTCTTCATAAAAGTAAATGTAATTTAGATTATATAGCTTCTTCCTTTAGGTAGATGTCAATACCTTTGAATAGCATTCTGCATCTCATTTGAAGTCTTCGTTAGAAGAAAATCTCAGATACTCTATAATGAAAGACATTTTTAGTCTAAGTATAGCAAAACATCTCAGATTAAATATAGAACATTTAGTTCAAAACTAATTGGTTTAGTCCTATATTTAAACTCAGAGAGTGTGTTTCACACTGTGGTGGTACAGGCACAAATGCTTTATTACAAGTTTTCTTTCCATGGAACTCATGGGGTAGGGTCTTCTTTATTATTTTGATACAGTAGCACATTTAAAATTTTTCCTAGCATTCTCATAATAAGAGTATTTTAGTGATCATATTTAACTAATATTATCTTAAACTAGTTAAAGCAAGTTATTTTCAGAAACCTTAATCAAATAGAGGGCTTGAATTTCATTTAGGTAATGAGTTTCTTAACTACTAGTATATTTTATTGACACTAAGACACAGCATTCTTTCACATTTTAGTGTCTCTGAAATGGAAATATGTCTTATAGTTGAATGTGTGTTTATGTGTATATATGCACACATGCACATGCACACTTATGTGAATATGTTTTGGTTTTGATATAGTGTCCATCAGCTATTTAGCCCACACTGATATACCCAGTATCTTTTCTGATTGGTCATTGCCTTGTATTGGTGTTAAAATTTCAAATATCAGAAATTGATTTTTTCCCTACTTTCTAAATAATAAATAATCTATTTTTAGGTTGGAAGTTTTCTTAGAATCTATAGTCTCCATACCAAACTTCAATCAGTGAATTCAGAGAGCCAGACAACTTTGTTAAGTCTAGAGTTTCATCTCCATGGAGGTACCAGTTATGGTCGGGGAATCAGGGTCTTGCCAGAAAGTAACTCTGATGTGGATCAACTGAAAAAGTAAGCATTTTTATATATGTATTTAGAAAATGTAAATAAGGTAATAATTAAGTTGACTGCTAAGATAATATTGTTCTGGGGCGAGGTCTGATAGGTTCCTTATTTGATCTTCATAGCCTTCTGTGCCGTTCTCCATATTTTTTAATAGATGAGCCAAATGAAACAAATCAAGTTATTGTAGGTTCAAGCAGCTAAATAGTAGCAGAGCGAGGGTTACAGTCTAAGTCTTCCAACAGTTAGAATCGGCTTTCTGCACTCTGCTCTTCCACGATTTGCCACACTCTCCAAGAACAGCAACATACAGTGGACACTGGACCTTAGCCAAAGTTTGGAAAATTTGATACATATCTAGGATTCCAAAAATACTTAATCTTGCCGTGAAAAAAAAAGTATTGTCTTTGTAAAGTGTCTCTGATTAAACAGATAACAAAAGTGTTTTACTGTCACTTTTTAAAAACTTTTAAAAAAACATTTTAAGAACTTTTATATGTGCCCAGAAAGTAAATAGTATCTTAAATCCTGCTATTTATTTATTTATTTATTTTTTCTTGGAAGTGTTCCTAGTAGGTACTGTGTGCAGAAACATTTTGGCCAGTATTCCAGAGAAATAAAAAAAAGTCTTATACATATCCTCAAAGAAATAGAAAACATACTTACTGTTCAGTAAATTGAAATGAAGTAACTATTGTCTAAGTTTTAATTTATTGAAATCAATATGACTTTAAAATCAATTAACCTAGTTTCTGTTTTACTTATTTTACATCACTTTCACTGATTTAAATCTCATATTGTAGGGCTGGTCAGTTAACTCAGTTGTTAGAGCCTAGTGCTGATAACACCAAGGTCCAGGGTTCAGTCCCTGTACCAACAGCTGCAAAAACAAACAACAACAACAACAACAAAAAATGCAAAATGTAGCAACATAGTATTTTACTTCTTGAGTCTAGAGTGAGATTGTTCTGCTCAGGTAATCTGATAAAAGCTATATAGACCATTTACTGAAAAATGCGTATATGCACAAAATTTTGTATACAATTTCAGTGAATTCCTGGATGTTGTGGGTAGAGCTAAACTTACTATATTTACTTTGTATTATTTTGCAATTTGAAATTACATCCTTTGCATTATTAGGGCTTTAGAATCTGCAGATTTGGCAGCTAATCAGCATTCAGATGGTATCTGTCAATTAGAACATGAGGACAGCTTTCCAACTGTTTCAAGTAAGGATAATTTTCAACACTGACTATTTAGTTCCTACTAAATAAAATGTTTTTTTTCAACATAATTCTTTTTTTAAGATCTTTGTTTCTCTGTCCTTTTTTAAAATTAATATATATAAGGAATACCCTAAATCTTTATCTGTGTCCTATGCAAATGTAAACATGGTTTCTCCCTAAATTGTAATTACATTTTCAGATTGGGATGGTAGTGATTACTTTATTTGTAATATACTCATATGTGATATGTATGTGTGTGTGTTCAAAAAGATCTGTAATAATTTCCTAGCCAACTATTTTGCTTGTCAGTTTCTAAAAGGAAGAAAGGTTGTTTGTGCTGCTTTATTTCAAACAAACCAAATATTTTTGCTCATACACATCTTAGATGTATACATAGTTCCCAGTCTTTACTGAGTTAATCAAGTATCTAATTACAAGTATTAGCAAACAGTGGCGTATGTATTTATATTATTGTCTACCTGAGTAGGTGACTGTTCAAATCTGAACTTTAAAACTTTTAAGCGCAATATTTTCTCCTTTACTACTTTGTTTTAATATCTGTTTGTACATTCTGGGACCTAAAATCTAGGTTATGTTCCTGACTCACTGTTTTTTCTTACAATCTAACGCTTTCCTTACGATGATCCAAAGAACTTTTTTATGAACATTTACTTTCTTTCTATACCAGTAATGATAAACCTGGAAATGAACATATATTTCTTGTTGGGTACTTAGTAAGTGCTTGCATGCTTTATTATTTAATACTAACAGAACTCATGAGATGTATTATTTTCTCCCTTTTACATAAAGGAAACTGAGGGGGGGTTTTGTTTGTTTTAATTTTTATTGAATCATAATTGATCATACATATTTGGGGGGGTTTGACATTGACATATGTTGGTCAAATCAGTATTACCAGAATATATATTGTTACAAATCATACTTATTCATTATGCCCCTTGTCCAATCTCTCCCCATCCCTGTCTCCCTCCCCACTCCCCACTGTGATAACCCTAGATTTCTTCTCTCCTTCTGAAAGACTACGTTTACTCTGTTGATTTGTTGTCTAGATGATCTGTCCAGTGCTGAGAAGTGTGTTCAGGTCCCTCAGTATTACCGTAGAGCAGATCCTTCCTTTGTCATTCTGGAATAGACTTTGTGGAGAGAGACATCCTCTTCTTTTCTTTGGTCTCTGCTCATGACTCTCCTTGTGTCAATGCATGCCAGTGGCTGGCAGACCATCTACACGGTGGTTGTGGTGTCTAGCCGCTTTTGCAGCAACCATGGTTATTGTGGTGGCTGTGGTGGGCCACCCACGTGGAAGTGATGTTTTTGGCATGCTCTTTACCTGGTTGCTAGTGGTGTTGGCAGTGTGCCTGGTTGTGGGAGAGAGGTGTCCAGTCCCCCTTGCTTACTTCTAAAATGGGGGAACTTCCTGGGGGGACCAGTACTTGAGCTGTGTGGTTTAGCTAAATTGCTGCTTTTTGGAAAGCATTTTGTAACTTTAGTGCTATGATCATTACTTATGCTTTCTTGTTAAAGTAAAATCCTATTTTATTATGTTCATCAGGTCATTCTATTAAACTTAGTAAGTTTACTATTGTATCCACTTCTTTTATTTCCTTCACAATGTATTTTTTCAACATAATAAAAGTTTTCAAATATAGGAAAGTTGTAAAACAATTGTGCAATGAAAGTTCATGTATCCACCACCTAGGTACTCCAATTAACATTTTACTTTATCTGTCACATAAATATTTCTCTATCCCTCTTTTCATTCATCAATCTATATTATTTTTTCATGCATTTCAAAGTAAGTTGCAGACATCAGTACATTTCCTAAGTACTTCAGTATGAACATAATTAACTAAAGTTCAATCCTGTTTAGAATTCATTTTATTTTTGAAGTAAAATTGCACACACTGAAATGGAAAATTTAGCATTACATGTACCATTCCTTGAGCTTTGACTAATAAACATGTGTAACACAGATCTCTCTAGATTTGCCTGTTCCAGAATTTCAGATAAATGGAATCATATATTATATGTTCTTCTGTACATACTATGTGTTCTTGAGATTTATTTACATCGTTGTATATATCAGCAGTTTGTTCCTTTTTTAATGCTTAGTAGTGTAGTTATGAGGTAGACATTGTTCTTTTAAATAGAAATTTCTAGTTGTCATAGCTCCATTTGCTTCCTTTTCCTGTTAAATAGCTTTGGTATCTGTGAGAAATCAAGTGGGAGTAGGTGTGGGCTTATTTCTGAACTTTCCATTCAGTACTTATTGATACAGTATGAAGTATACATTTTTCTCCATTCCAGTTTCCAGTTGTTGTAGTGCCGTGCATTGAAAAGTTTTGCTTTTCCTTTGAATTGCTTTGCTGTCTTTGTTAAAAATCAAAAGACCATATTAATGTGCTTTATTTCTGGGCTCTCTATTTAATTTTGTATATTTATTTGTTAGTCCTTATACCAGTACTATTCAAGCGTACTTCAAAAAGCTCATGGAAAAATGGAATTAAGATATAATACGAATCTTTCCATGAACTTTTTGAAAACCTCTTGTATTGTCTGTAGCTTTATCGTAAGTCTTAAAGTCATATAGTGTAAGTCCCTCAACTTTGTTCTTCTTCGAGATTTTATTTAATGTTTTAGATTCTTTGCATTTCCTCATAGTGGTAGAATCTACTTGTCAATTCCTAAAATAAAGCCTCTGCTGTTTTGATTAGGATTTCATTGAATCTACAGATTAATTTGTGGAGAATTGATATCATCACAATATTGAGCCTTCTGAATCATGCATAGGGAGTATGTCACCATTTGCTTATATTTTCTTCAAATTCTCTCAGGATTGTTTTATAGTTTTCAATGCCCTCTTGAATTTTTAATGGACTTAAAAACTAAATTTTTTTCTATTCTTTCTATAGGCTCTGGATCAGTATCATTATATGAGGTAGAAAGATGTCAACAACTGTCTGCCACAAGTAAGACCATGTATCGTTTTTGAGATATGGGCACAGTAATGAGCATAATGAAGTCTGTTCTTATACTTACCAGCTAATCAATTCCTGTCTAATCGTGAAAACAGATATTCATGAGGGCATAAACTTGCCCATATTTAACTTTATTTCTCCACCTCATCCTATACTGCCATATAATGCAACCTATACATTTACATGTCTTTATATTGAATACATATTTTTACATGTTTCTTAACTTTTCTAAAAGTTCATTATTTCATTTCATAGTACAATGTATTTTTAGTTTGAGGATGAAAAATATACTCTGACATTAATCGTAATCAATTCACTGTATTTGTTTAACAATGTGCCCATAAAAAAGCTCCTTACAGTATGCCTCCAAACTTTAATTTAATCTTAACAATGATAGTATATCTACGAGGTACCCTTCTTCTGTTATTTCAGCTAAGATTTTTTTCAGAAAAATATTTTTCAAGCACAAGTATATTAAATACTTTAATACTATTATAAAAATATAAGTTTCTCTGATTGGAGAAAGGAGATACAAATATGGAATGGGATAAGGCTAGATAAAAGCTCGTGGTGGTGTATTGGAAATGGAGGTGTCAAATGTACTCATGGTTTTATAGATAGATACAAAAATAGATATAGATGTGTGTATGTGTATATTTATATATGTGTGTATATATATGTATATATATTCACACATATACATATTCATACATATATAGGTGCATGCATGCATGCATGTATGTATGTATGTAATGGTATGAACATGTGTGTATACATACCCTACCTTTATTCACAAACGGGCTTACAGGCAATGGCATTCCAGTAGCAGTAAGTACACCTAATGCACAGATCTTGGTTTGCCAATAATATTTCTCGCTAAAAGGAATCGTGGCTCCTTGGAGAAATAGCAGATTCCAGGACTAGGACAGGGGAAATACAGTGTTTGTTTGCAACATCGTGTAGTGCCAGAAAGTGAGGAAGTTCTCAGTTAATGATAAGACGTGTCAAATGGCATATGATAGAACATGTGAAATCAGGGACAGATTTCCCTGAGTTAGCCAGGAGATCTCCATTAGTCGCATTTAAGAAACACTTTTTTGAACACGTACACAGCAGTTAAATTCTTTCTTGCTCAAACTATCCAGCATTTATTCAGTAGATATTGGTTGAGTACCTACTCTGTGTCTGGCACTATGCTGGGAAACTTGGCTGTTCATCAAGGAATAAAGGCATAACCCTTGCTTTCATGGAGGTGACAGTTAATAGAACTTGTTAATTAGCTTTTATAGTATGTATTTGGTTCAGGAGGATGTGTGTTGTGAATATACTTAACGCTTCTTGTTATGTCTAATTAAATACGAAAATCCTTTACAGTACTTACAGATCATCAATATTTGGAAAAAACACCACTGTGCGCCATTTTGAAACAAAAAGCTCCACAACAATATCGCATCCGTGCAAAATTGAGGTCATATAAACCCAGAAGACTCTTTCAGTCTGTTAAACTTCATTGTCCTAACTGTCATTCGTTGTAAGTATTTTCTGTAATAAAACAAATTTTTGTTTCATATTATTTGTGAATGTACATGTACAAATATATATAGTTTTAAATCCTTGGAATGAGTAAATCATGGTTTTATATATTGTATTTTGAAAGAATGGTAATGTTTTTAAGGGAAAATACTAAATTCTTAGAAAGTAGATTCTTCTGAATCTTTCTTAGTAGTAATAAAAGTAGGTGCTGTTTTCAGATCTGAAATTTACCTTAGTAGTTCTGATAAATTGCAAATGAGAAATAATAAACTATGAATATATTGGGGGAGACTTTTTCACAGAAATACCTTCCTAAATAAAAACCACTAAGGGCCGGCTGGTTAGCTCACTTCGTTAGAGCATGTAGTGCTGATGGCACTAAGGTCAAGGGCAAGGGTTCAGATCCCTGTACTGGCCAGCTGCCAGAAAAATATATACATACATATATATAAAAGTACTTATTAACTGAATTTCTTAAAAAGAATTCTAGTTAGTTGAAATTTCTGATTAAATGATACAGAAAGCCTTGTTGGAAATATTTCTTCCCTGTTTAATAACTACAATTTAACAAATGTAATTTAAATTTTCTTTAGTAATTGAGAATTTCTCAGTATATTTATTCCAAACATCAATTATTATGTAAATATGTAAATAAATTCATAGGATTGTTTTATAGTCTTGTTGATATGTGCTCATCTCAAGACATATTATGAAAATTATTTTTAATTCCTGCTCATCTTTTTAATGTAATTTCCCTATCTTTCCTTTAAATATATAAAATGATGTTTTGGAAAATGTACGTAACTGGTAGACATGCGTGTTTGGATACCATAAATTAAGTTTTCATGATAATGTGCTACAATGTATAAATATATATACACATCTCCATATATTTTTGTGTTTATATTATTAGTGAATGTGCATGTTAATGTAAGTAAATATTTTTTTCCCTTCAAAATCCAAGTATAGTATGTTTAGGGAGATTTTTGATCATCAAATCTCTTTAAATAAAATGTAAGGGACCTGTCTTCTACCGATTTGAGTTTCAAATGGTAGTTGTATTTAAAATATATGTAAGGAGTTTAAAAAATTTTGGAGGTATATCAAATTTTGGTTCATTGAATTCTGTAAGATTATATAACTTTGTGAAACAAAACCATGCTCTGTGATCATTTTTTAAACAAATAAATCATCTCAGAGAAGTCAGTTAATAGAGGCTATCTAGTTACACAACTACTTGGTTACAGAACCAAGACAAAGACATAAACCTTTTGATTCCAAATGATGCCATTCTTACTATGTGATACTTCACCATGTGACTTTAAAATTATTATTAAATGGAATTGAAGTTAATATTGGTTTAAAATAGAGTCCTGTGAAAGTGACATTACATAAGTGTAAGTGGATATTTAACCTGAGTGAAGATGAGGGCTGCTGCATTTTCCTCATTCACTGGGAAGTTTGGCATTTCTTACAGAGGAGAATAAATTGTTGCTAGAAATAAATTAATGTAACCATGATATCACAAAACAAGGCATGGAAATTGCCAGGGGTTAATGTTATTATAATATGGATATACTTCGCCACAAAATATCAAATATTTATATCTACTGAATAAGTTATTTAATCTTCAAAGTGCTTTATCTCCATAATTTAAGAAAAAGTAGCTGACTTATCTATATATTTAAAAAATGGTATATTTCAATTGGATGATTTGTTAAATTGGAATTTTCAAGCTTATATCAACATTGTTTTCTACTGTTTTATTGCCAATGATTTTAGACAAGAAGTTCCACATGAGGGTGATTTGGATGTAATTTTGCAAGGTGGTGCAATTAAAACCCCAGATAACAAACTACAAGATACGTCATTATATGATTCAAAAGTCTGGACCACTGACGGTCAAGGAGGAAGAACAGTAGCTATTCATTTTGTGAAAAATAATGGAATCCTTCCACTATCAAATGAATGTCTGATTTTGATAGAAGGTAAGATATTTAAGTTACTGTTTTGTTAGAATACTGCTTTTGTGTATTTTTTCCTGACTATTAGTAAATATATCTTACAGTAAACCTAGTGCATATAAAGTAAAAATATTGTCAATTTAAGCTTCATATAAAGAAATATACTATATATCAACTAGATTCAAGTATATATGCACACAAATACATGTACATAAATTTACCTGAATTACATTTTAAAATTATATATTAAACTGAAGTGTTTACATTTATTCATTTTGTTGGATTCCTACTTGTAATCTTGTCAGCTTTATGCAGATTATTTAGTTGAGTAGTAATAAAGAAGCTGATTGCTTATGTACAGCTGCATTGTCTTGGCCTCTGGATGTCACTGTTGTTTCATAAAAATAGGGTGAAAGTCATCTATTGATATCTAAAGGAAAGGACTATTGAAACAAGTAAAGATAACTTGATAAGTTTTAAAAGAAAGAAATTTTGTCTTGTTTATTTTTTTATTTTCTTTCTATTGTCTAATTTTTTTAATCGAATGTATCTAATATATGTACCATATGTTTTTTCTCATGCTAAATTTAAAGTTTTATTATTTTCCTTGAGGCTTTTCTTTGTGATAAAAAAAGTCATCTTTAATTTACATTAGAAAAATATTTAGTTTCATTTTATAAATGAATTTCATTATAATGTATTATTTTTATTGCTAATTTTTTTATTTATCAAAGTAACACATAATCATTTAGAAAAAAAAATATATATATATATACATGAATACTCATGTATATAAATATTGGTATGAACGTGCTTCAAAAAGTTTGTGGAAAGTGGAATTATAAAAAAAATAAAAATCTTTCCATGAATTTTTTGAAGTACCCTCATATTACTTTCATGAATATAGCTTTTTTTAAAAAAAGGTAATTACATTGTGTCAGAAACTACTCTAATTGGTTTTTATATACTCATTTAATGATCACAACAAATATTGCCCTCTTACTTTCTAGTAAATGTGCATATGTTTTAGTAGTATATGAGATTTCCTATTTCCCTACATTTCCCAATATATAGTAGCACTTCTAAAAACTTAGTGTATTATCAGAGTTCTCCAGAGAAACAGAGCCAAAAGGATGGAGATACATATATATGTGTGTAAAAGGATATTTATTATCAGGAATTGTATCACATGATTACGGAAGATGTCAAGTCCCAAGATCTGCAGACTGAGTTGGCAAGCTCAAGGTCAAGGAGAGCTAGTGGTATAGTTACAGTCTGAAGGCTCTCAGCCTTGAAACCCAGGAAGAGCTGAGGTCCCAGTTCAAAGGCAGTCAGGCAGGAGGAATTCTCCCTTACTCAGAGTAGGATTAGTCTTCATGATTAAGGCCTTCAACAAATTGGATGAGGTCTACCTGTGTTAGGAAGGGCAATCTGCCTTACTCAGTCTGCTGATTTAAATGTTACTCTCATCTACAAAACACTTTCACAGAAGCATCCAGAATAATAGGCTTGACCAAATATGTGGACACTTCATGGCCCAGTCAAGTAGACACATAAAATTAACCATCATGCTTGGCCACTTTGATGGGTGAAATGTAGTATTTTATTCCATTAGCAATATTTGAATATGTACTACAAGATAGATGTAAAAGACAAAACAAAAATAGAGACTCCCCCCTCAAAATTTACTCACACATTTTGGATAATGGCTACACAACCTCTATATGATATTCTGGAAAAGGCAAGACTATGGGGACAATAAAAGATCAGTGGTTGCCAGAGGTTGAATGGGGGTGAGAGATGAATAGGTGGGACACAGAGGATTTGTGGGTCAGTAAAAATGCTCTGTATGATACCATAATGTTGGATACAGGTAATTTTACACATGTCCAAACTCGTAGAATGTACACCACCAAGAGGGAATCCTAATATAAACTATAGACTTTGGCTGATTATAATGTGTTAATGTAGCTTCATCATTTTTAACAAATGTGCCACTGTGGTGGAGGACGTTGATAGTGGTGGGGAGCTATGTATGTGTGGAGGCAAGAGGTATATGGGGAATTTTTGTACCTTCCTCTTAATTTTGTTGTGAACCTTAAAACTACTTCAAAAAAATAAAGACAAAAAAAAATAGGATGTATAACACCAAGAGTGAACCCTAATATAAACTTTGGACTTTGAGTGATAATGATTTCTTAAAGTAGATTCATCACTTGTACTAAATGTACCACTTTGTTGTAAGATGTTTACAGTGGGGGAGGCAGGGCCAGGGGGAGCGTGGGGGCTATATAGAAAATCTCTGTACCTTCTGCTCAATTTTCCTGTGTACCTAAAGCTGCTCTAAAAAATAAGGCGTATTTTTAAAAAAGAAAAAAAATGAGAGTTATGTGAAAGCACTTTGAAATGTAAAAGGGACATAAGAATGTAAGCTATTTTTATTTTAGATTTCTAAGTATTATCACCTGAGTCCAGGTCTAAGATCAGAGTATGTCACTGTTCTGCTTAGCAATCTACAAAATCAAAAGCTAACCTGGATTTAGAGATGAGTCAAAAAACAACCGTACGAATACCAAGTCATTCTTAGAATGCAAGGACCTCCAGCAACATCCACTAATATTTATGTCATTTTGGGGCTTATCTAATGCAACTGACACTATTTCATTGTGACCTATTATCTATACAGATCATAGGTTTTACTCTTTGTATTAATATAGTTCTTTAGGTTTTGACAAGTGCAGAGTAATAGGTACTCAACATTACAGTCTTATACAGAACAGTTCCACCTAAAAATCTCGTGTGCTGTGTGTTCTTCTCCCCTGTACCCAAACTTCTGGCAACCACTGACTTTCTTACTGTCTGTAGTTTTGCCCTTTCCAGAATGTCTAGATTATCCCCTATGTTATCTTCTAGAAGTTTTATAGTTTTGCATTTTATATTTAAATATAGGATCCATTTTTAGTTATGTTTTGTGAAAGGCGTAAGGTCTGTGCCTAGATTTACTTTTTTAAGGGTGGATGTCCAGTTTATTGTACCATTTGTTGAAAAGACTGTCCTTTCTTCATTGAATTGCCTTTTGTACTTTGTCAAAGATCGGTTGGTTCTATTTATGTGAGTCTGCTTCTGTGTTCTCTATTCTCTTTTGATCTATTTGTCTTCCCCCCCCCCCCCCCCATAGCACCACACTATCTTTTTACTGTAGCTTTATAGTAAGTCTTGAAGATGTGTGGTATTGGTCTTCCAACTTTGTTGTTGTGCTTCGGTATTGTGTTGGCTCTTGTGGGTCTTCTGCCTTTCCATGTAAACTTTAGAATCAGTTTGTCGATATCCAAAATAACTCACTGGGATTTTGATTAGGCCCCCCCCCACCTATAGCACCACACTATCTTTTTACTGTAGCTTTATAGTAAGTCTTGAAGATGTGTGGTATTGGTCTTCCAACTTTGTTGTTGTGCTTCGGTATTGTGTTGGCTCTTGTGGGTCTTCTGCCTTTCCATGTAAACTTTAGAATCAGTTTGTCGATATCCAAAATAACTCACTGGGATTTTGATTAGGACTTGCTATAATTACTTATTAGTTCATGAGTTTTTTGTTGACTCTTCATGATTTTCCTGTAAACAATGACAGTTTATTTCTTCCTTCCCAATATGTATACCTTTTCTTTTCTTTTCTTCTCATATTGCATTAGATAGAGCTTCCAATACAATGTTGAATAGGAGCAGTGAGAGGGAACATTCTTGCTTTTTTCTAAACCTTAGGTGGAAAGCATCATCATTAAATATTTTAGGGGTAGCTATTTTATAAATGTTCTTTATCAAGTTGAAGAAGTTCCTTTCTTTTCCTAGTTTGCTGAGAATTTTTATCATTAATGAGTGTTGGATTTTGTCAAATGCTTTCTCTGTTGTGTCTATTGATATGATCATATGATTTTTTTTCTTTAGCCTATTGATGTTGTAGATTACATTAGTTGATTTTGGATGTTTAACCTGCCTTGCATACCTGGAATAAATCTTATTTGGTTGTGGCGAATAATTATTTTTATACATTTTTGGATTTGATTTTCAAGTATTTTGTTGAGGATTTTTATATATATGTTCATGAGAGAGATTGATCTGTAGTTTTCCTTTCTTGTAATGTCTTTGTCTGTTTAATCTATTCGAGTATTATTGCTGGCCTTATACAATGAATTAGGAAGTTCTTCCTCTGCTTCCATTTTCTGAAACAGATTGTACAGAATTGGTATCATTTCTTTCTTTTCCTTTTTATTAAAATTTATTTATTAATACTATTTTTTTTTTACATTCTGTGATGATGTGGCAGAGAAGTTGGGGGGAAGGAGAGAGGAGAAAGGGGAAGGAAATAGGGTGAAAGAAGGAGGAAGCAGGAAGGAGGAGGGGCAGGGTTGAGACCTATGGCACCCCCCTCATTCCTACATGGGAGACCAAGGGGCTTCCAGCTGTGGCTTGGTCATTGCTGTGCTAGTGCAGATGTTAGAGAGGTGTGACTGAAGCCCTTGCCCCCCACCACCCCAGCATGGTAGCCTGGGGCACTTCCTGCAGTGGCTCAGTGGTCATCACTGGGCTGGTTGGGAGTGTCGGGGGCATGGCCAAGGCTCTTGGCTCCCCATTGCCCTGGCTCAGAAGAACCCAGGGCACTTCCACTGGCAACTTGGTGGTCATTGCTGGGCTGACTGTGGGTGTCAGGGGGGTGTGGGAAGGCCCCCAGCCCTCCCTCCTCCCCTGGCTTGATAGCCCAGGGGACTTCCAGTCCTTCTAGTTTTTATAGGTGTTCTTTGGTAATGTGAGACCTTTACTAGTTAATATCACACTTTGGTTATGGGTATTTTGTTTTTTCTTTCAATTCTTTGTTGGTATTATTTGCTGTTTCTACCACTTAAACTCTGCAATGGATCTAATTTGTTGTCCTTTGCTTACGTCTAAAATGGGGGAACTTCCTGTGGGGACCAGCACTTGACCTCTGTGATTGAGCTAAATTGCTGCTTTGCTGCTGATTCCCTGGGGAAGGCTTTTTGTGCAGCTCAGGTTTTAATGGTCAACTTTATAGGTGCTTCAGGGTCTCATGAGATCTGGTGCACCTGGGTTGTATAGAAACTCTGGTCTGGGCCTGAGTCTTTTCAGCAAACTGCACCCCCTGCAGTTCTGTATTCCTGACTCCAATGAGTAGTCCTATACTGACTGAGGAGGAGATCAGCTGTGCTTGCTGGGCCCCAGTGTTTTTCTGGTGGACCCATCTCCCCTACCTCCCATGCTCCAAATGGGAGCTGTGCGCCACTCCCTTACAATGACTCACCAGCCTCTGAGTGGCTCCTTTTTTTCAGTTGTCGTGAGTCCTCCCTCCAATGTGGGTCCATAGGAATATTGTCAGTGGTTTTGCTGGCCTGGGGGCCACCAAGGCCCTCTTCTCTCCTGCCACCTCCAAGCAACTTCACCTGAAGGGCACAGCTGTGGCTTTACCAGCTCCTACCCCGTGGGCTCACCAGCTCCAACCTGAAAGTGGCCAGGGTTTGAAACAGTCAAAGTGGTTCTTTCTTTCTCTCATCATGGCTTCTCCCTCTTCATGCACTCCGTAGGTATCTCCTCCTCTTCCCCTGAGTTCCAGTGGCCCCAACTTGGCTGTCATTGCTTTTTAATAGTTGTAAATTGGTTGATTTGTGGGAAAGAGTGACTCTGGGGACCATCTCTTCCGCCATCTTGATCGGAACAGTATCATTTCTTTCTTATTTTATTTTATTTTTTGTCCTTTTTGAGACCAGCCGCACCGCGCTCAGCCAGTGAGCACTGTGAGCATACCTGTTGTCCCTATATAGGATCCGAACCTGTGGCAGGAGCGCTGCTGTGCTCCCAGCGCTGCACTCTCCCGAGTGCGCCACGGGCTCGGCCCCATTTCTTTCTTAAATGTTTGGGTAGAATTCACTATTGAAACCATCTGGGCCTGGCAGTTTTTTTAAGTTATTAATTATTAATTTGATTTCTCTTTAAATATAGTTCTATTAGATTATCTATTTTTCCTTGTGTGAGTTTTTGGTAGCTTGTGTTCTTCAAGAAATTGTTCCATTTCATCTAAGATATCAAACTTATTTTTATAGAATTGTTCATAATATTCCTTTATTACTCCTGCTGTATTTTAAAGTCTGCTTAATTTTTAAGTTTTCTCTGATATATAATTTATATGGGGCTGTAATGTCACAGAATCATTTTATCATTTATTAATACCTATATCATTTACTGTATAGACTATGTGCCAGGCACTGTACTGCTTTATTAGTCTGTTTATGTTGCTTATAACAGAATACCTGAAGCTGTGTAATTTATAAAGAAATGAAATTTATTTCTTACAGTTTTGGAGGGTAGGAAGTCCAAGGTCCAGGCAACACATCTGGTTACGGCCTTCTTCCTGGTGGGGATACTGTCCACAGCAACTCGTGGTATCACATGGCAAGAATGGGCTGAGCAAGAGAGCTAATCTCCTCATTACTCTCCTTTTAAAACCATCAGAACCATGCCCATTACTCTACTCACAAGGGCATCGTCCTCACAATCTAATCACTTCTTAAAAGCCTCACCTTTGAAACATCATAGTTGGATTTCCCACCCTCTTAACACTGTTACAGTGGGAATTAAGTTTTCAATACATGAACTTTTGGCAGACATGTTTGACCTATAGCAACTACCTATATATATATATTTTGACCCATAGCAACTACCTATAAATATATATATATATTTATATATATATTTCTTTTTTTTTTTTTTTTTGTGACCGGTAAGGGGATCGCAACCTTCAGCTTTGTGCTGTCTGCACTACGCTCAGCCAGTCAGCGCAGCGGCCAACCCTATATAGGATCCGAACCCGCGGCCTCGGTGCTATCAGCACCTCACTCTCCCAAGTGAGCCACGGGGCCAGCCCCCTAGTTTAATATTTTATCTTTAACTCTCAGCTTTGTCTGTAAGCTACATATTATTATCCCTTTATAAATGATGTGGAAACTGTAGCCTAGAGAAGATGGTAAATAGCCCAAGTTTAAAGACCTAGTAAATACAAGAAAAATTTCAAATCTAGGTCTTTGTGTCTCCATGGTCCACGCTGAATCTTTCTACTGATTACAGATAAATTGCATTCAGTTAGAGTGTCTCTAGGTATAAACCTTTCTAACCTTGCTTTTCACTAAGATAATTTTAAACCTTTTATTTGTGCTCATTCATTCAGCATTTTTATTGAATGCCTACTGTGTGCCAGGAACTGATCTAGGCATTAGTGGTATTGCAGCAAACAGGATGAAGTGTTTCCTTTCATGAACTTTATGTTTAAGAGGGGATCACAAATAATTAATAAGAATAATAGTTACACATGGCTCTAGGTGCTTTACAAATATTAACTCATTTAGTCCTCATAATAACCTTACAAAGTAACATCATTATTCCCAGTTTTACAAATGAGGAAACTAATATACCAAAGTTTCAGTGACTTGATCAAGGTTATCTAGCTCACGTGCCAGAGCCATTCGTTGTCTATCTAGCTAAACAGGATGCTTACCAGCTCCCTTGGCATGGTATTTTTGCAGGTAACCCTTAGAGAAAGGAGCTGGTGAGTAGTCACCCCTCACAGTTTTGAGCAGTAGGCAGAGTTCTTTTTAGAAGTGCTATATGTCAGTCTCTAGAGGACAGACCCTAGTTTTGGGGGCTTTGAAGCTTTTAAGTTAAATGCTTGGGGGATTCTGTTTTGAGTTTTTAAACTGGCATAATCAGGGTTTAGGATCTAACTGCAGTATGGTACGGCAGAGCTGTGGCTTCCAGCTAATGCAGAGCTGGTAAAAGGAGCATAGGAACAGAGCAAGTTAAAATGCCACAAACTGTCTGTTCTTACCAAGATTCAGCCATTTTTCTGGAATAAACACTCTTGATTGTTGCAAGCCTCTGGTAATTTCCAGAGTTCTGAAAATGTTGATTTTTATACTTTTTGCCATTTATTTATTTGCTGTTATGGAAAAGTGTGTTTTTGGAGGTCCTTTCCCTGCTGTGCCAGAAGTGCTTCTCCATCATAATTGAATGTTGACATTACCCAAATTTTAGGAAATACACAGAGGTACTTTTAAAAATCATATTCTCTTTCCCTGGAGGTAAGAAGCATTATTAATCTAAGTGAAAAGTATACTGGAAAAGGTACAGCTAGGTTTGAGTTTCAAAGATAACGCTACCTTCTAATAATGGTGCACCATTGAGCATACTGTTTGTTCTCCACCAGCTTGATGGTTTTAATGCTTATCCTGTCATAGAATTAGTGTGACGATATGTAAATTCATATTACGTGAACTACTCTTTGTATCTGTATTTAATGTAATGTTGACCTGAAAGTTTAAAATATGTATTTCAAACTCAAAACTAAATTTGCCTACATATCAATATTAAATAGCAAACTTAATGGTAAGAATTCTGTCATACTTTGGCTCTCAAGTGTGTTCTCTTTTTATTTGAACCAAAGTATTCTAGGCATAAAGAGCAATTTGTTTAATTTTAAGAAGATGATTAAAATTTCACAAGCCTTGTATTTTACTCAAGTGTCAGCATTTTTATACAATAATTTATTTAATCATTTTTAGGGTCCTAAGTTTACAAATTCATATTTTTCACAGTAAATGTATTGAATCTCTAAATTTGTGGCTTTCATTGTCTTTTTCTGTCATTCCCTTCAATCTTTTATTACATCTCCTATTTTACTTAGTAGGTACTTCATTTTGCCTACATTGTATTTGTTCTACTGGAAGGGTTTATTTATTCTCTTTTAACAGGAGGTACACTCAATGAAATCTGCAGACTTTCAAAGAAGTTTCATAGTGTAATTCCTGTGAGATCTGGCCTTGAAGACTTGGAACTCCTGGACCTTTCAGCACCATTCCTTATACAAGGAAAAGTACATCACTATGGGTATGTTTTCAGTTTGGGAAATTTTTGGAAGTGAGAACTGTTTAAGAGTAATTTTTATTTTTATTATTTTGTTCCACTAATTACTACATGCTCAATGGATACTTACTGAGTAGCAATTTATATGTACTAGATTTTTGTGGTATATATCTATTCTTTTGATAAGCATACATATACTGAGTACACACAATGTTCTTGCTATAAGGCTATCAACTTTGTGTTCCTCAGCCAGAGCCTGTATTCACTTACTTTCTTTCACAACAAGGATTTAGTTACTAGTTACAAAGAAAAGTTACAGAGCTGCACACCTAGTAAAAATTAATTGATTGTATTCCAGAATTTCTGAGCCACTAAATTACAATTTTTGAAAATTGGAAGATGAAAGAATACATTAGGAGCTATAAACAGATTTTTAGGTTTAGAAGGAGGGGATGCGGATAAAATCATCTTTACTGCCTGATGATTTTTCTAGTCACCCTAGAAATGCTCTGCTTTGAGAAACCTTGGATTACCGGATACATCTTATTCTGCCATCCCTCTCCCTTTCCTACTCCTAAGTTTGTAACAGTTGTTAGTCATTGTTATAATGTGTAAACCTTGATATCAGTTGAAAAATTATGTACTGCAATTATAATATCTCCCTGATTGTGACTGCTGAGTCATTAGGAGGCACTGGCCTGGGTTCTGTTCCATATGCAACACATCATAAAGCTTCAGCAATAAAGTCGATCTAGTATACCACTGAGTTAAACATGACTTCAGAGTCAACTTTAACAAGATTTATCTACCAATTAATTCAAAAATAAAAATTCATCAAATTCTGTTTGTTTATCTTTCATAAGTCACTAACATGGGCTTTCTCTTTTTTGCATGCTCACTGTCACTCACTTGCTCTTTCTCCTTTTCCCCCTCTTCTATCTTGCCTTCCTAGGTTCAAGCACCTTGTCTACTAAATGAGGAAAGCAAAAATTAGTTATAATCTTTGAAGTATAACTTCATTTATTAGAAGTCTAAAGAAAGTTTTCTTAAGGTTCTCAACTGTTTCACCAGTTTCAGCATAAGCAGAGACAGAAATTCTGCTAAGACTCCAGATTTTAAGACATTTTTAGATTTTCCATTACTTGTTATCAGCAAAAGGCAACATATCATTTAATTGATTTTTTTTAATGTTTAATTATGAAATAATTTTAGTTTACAGAACAGTGTCAAAAATTACATCACAACAGTTATGTACCTGCCACTTAGATTTAACAAATATTAACATTTTTAACATTTTTTCAGACCTTTATTTTTAAGAAATTAAATTTTTCAGAGAAGAAACACGTCCCCATACCAATACCTTCTCTAACCCTTCCTTCTGAGAGTTAACAACTTTCTGAAACTTGGGAGTCAATCCCTCTCATCAACATTTTCATGCTCTTATTATACACATATATTATTATATGTGCAAACTCTTAAGCAGCATAGTATATCATTTTATGTGTTTCTTAAATTTATGTAAACTGTTTTATACTTTGCCCATCCTTTTATGGCTTGCTTTTTTTCATTCGGTATTATTTTTTAGATTTACATATATTGATGCATGTAGATTTAGATTATTTTAATATCTATAGGGTACTTTAAGAATTTATCATAATTTGCTAATACATTTTTATATTTATGGATATGTTATTTGTTTCATTTACAGACAGTGCTAAATGAAGTCTTATTTTTGTGTGTGTATTTCCTTCATCACAAAATCAGTGGGTCATGATGAACATTTGTTTTTAATGATATGGTGTGCTTGTGGTATGAAATGGAATGAAACAGAATGCATAATAGAGAACATTTTACATAGTAAGGGTTAGTGTTGTTCCCTGAACTTTTATTTCATGTGTGTGTGTGTGTGTGTGTGTGTATGTGTGTACTGGGGCATGATATAAAATGAATTTCTTACTATATGTACTTGCCAGAAATGTTTGAAATTTACTGCTGTAATGTTTACATAGAACTGGAATTACTGGAGAGTAAAGTATGCATTTTTTTTGCTTTATCATAAAATAGCCAATTACTCCTCCAATGGTTTTAACAATTTATGGTTCCTTCAGTGGTCTGTAAAAATTTCAGTTTCCACCAAATTCTCTCCAACACTTGGTAGTAGTCGAACTTATAATTTTCTTAGGCTAATGAGAATCAAGTGATATTCATGGTGTTTTGTATGTATTTCTTAGATGACTGTTAGTTTAAGCAACCCTCATGCTTATTGACTATGTAGGTTTCCTATTCCATGATTTTCGTGTTCACATCTTTTGCTTGTTTTTCTGTATAGTTTCTGGTCTCTTTTTTTGGTTCGTGTGTGTGTGTGTGTGTGTGTGTGTGTGTGTGTGTAAAACTTCTTTCTATATTAGAGATACTAATCCTTCATCAGTTACACTCGTATTTCTAGTGTGTCGCAGGACCATTTTAACTTTATGGTTTCCTTTTATAGATTTTAAAACATTAATATAGTCATATTTACCAAAATATTTTCCAAAACTTAAGAAGTTTTAAAAAGCTTTCCTTAAGTTGTCTTAAGGACCTGATGCTTTTTAAATACAATTTAGACTAATGGCTCAGTTTCTTTAATGGTTATACATCTCAAGATTTTGTGTTTTATTAATGAAGTTTTTCTAGAAATGTATTCATTTATTTTTTTTAAATTGTTTATTTACGTATAATTGTTGATAGTATTTTCTGATGATTTTTGAATTTCCACTTTGTTCTTGGATCTTCTTGATATTGTTTTTGTGCCTTTTTTTTTTTTTTCTTGACTTTTCTTTACCAAAACATCTAGTTTTTGGTCTATATTGATGCTCTCTCTATTATTTTGTTATTGCTTTTATCTTTGTCTTACTTCACTTTTTTTACATTTCCTGTTTTTCTTTTTCAAAATTTTTAATTGAATGCTTATCTCACTTTCTCAAACTTTTTAAATTGAATGCTTACCTCACTTAACTAATTAATTTTTAAGATATTTTAATACTTATATTTAAGTCTATAATTTTCTCCCTGGGAAAATAGCTGTAGCATTATCTATCCCAGGTTTTGATATATAGTGTTCTTCTTGTCCCTCACTTTTAAATGTTTTATAAATCCCATTATGATTTCTTCCTTGGCCCATGAATTATTTAGTTGTGTGTTTAACTTTTCACACGTGTATTGTAGGTGCTGTGTTGTTATTTTTATTTTCGTTAGATTGCTTTTTAACCAAATAGCATGATGCATTACATAATGATTCTTTGGAATTTGTTCAGCTTTGGTTTATCCTAGAATGTGTATGTTCAGATTTGTATATATAGCATGTGTTTTTTTAAAAAATATATATTCTTTAATAGTTGAGTTAGGGTTTTCTATATGTCCATTAGATCAGATTTGTTAATCATCGAAATTTCTATTTCTTTTGTAATTTTGTCTATTTGACTTTCTTAGAGAGGTGTGCATAAATCCCCATTATGATGTGGGTTTGTGACTTTTTATTCTGTCACCATTTGTTTTATATATTTTGAAGCTCTTTTGTTGGGTCATTTAGGTCAATATTGTTTGATCTTCCTGCTGAATTCATTGTTCTGTGTATTCTTATGTAAAGACCTCATTTCTAATCAGGATTTCCTGTCTCAAGGTATAATTTTGCTAATTTTATTATTGCATCAGCTTTCTGTTGGTGGTGTAATTTATTGATTGATATCTTAAGCTCATCCTTTTGCTTTCAAGTTTTTGTGTCATCTTTTAGTATGTCATTTATAAATAAAAGCTTATGGGTGAGTTTAAGATATGTTTTTTAATTATTGATATATTCAGTTTATATTTCTACATTTTTGTTGTTTTCTACTTACCATGTTTTTACTGTTCTTTTTTTTTTCTTTTTTAAAAAATACTTTGCTTTTCCTTTCCAGTTTTTGTTGGAATGACTTTTTTAAATGTTTCTAATTTTTCCCTTTTTATTGCTTTGAAGTAATGATTCTCTATTTAATTTTGACTTATTACCCTTAATTTTTCGTTTGTGTACTATCTTTGCTTTACCAATGTCTAATGCTAAATAAAACCACAGTGTTTTTTTAGGCAATAATATTCTCTTATTCAATTTTTTTTTTTATTGGAGAAGAAGCATCTATGTATTTGATTAATAGAAGGCGATAAAATTTAATATAGTTATTCTCTGCTTTTCCCAAATTGCAAATGAAAAGTAATCTACAGGGACTTTTTGAATTTTGATTTTTATATTTTTATTCTATTTTTTCAAATAAATTTTCTTATCAATATCTCATAAACATGATGATCATAAGAAAATAAATTACTTGTACTTAAAATATGTTGGTATGTAAGTAAAGCAAAATAGCTATACTCAATAATAATGTGTAGTTTTAGATATATTTACATTTTAAAAGATAACTATTTTTGGGCATCATGAAGTGTAAAACTGAATATACGCTTATTAAAAGTCTTAATTATCCAAAATCTTGCTAGTCTTGATTGCTTTAGTTGGAACAGTTTTCTCTCACTGTATTTATTGGCTATATTTATTAACACTTTGGCTATTAGATATTGCTCATAAAGCTATAAAATCAAAGAATTCTTAGAGATTATCTCCTTAACCTTCTCATTTCAGCAAATAAAGAAATTAAATTAATGATTTGGACCTGGAATCCAGTCCCTTATTCTTAATTCAGAGTTGTTTTTTTGAACCCCACACAATCTTTCTATTGCTTTTGTATAAAAAGCTTATTTTTAAATAATTTTTTTCAAATAAGCACATTACAGTATAGGAGGTACAGTACTTTTGTTTAATAATTTATTTTTTAACAGTATACATGCTTGAACAGCAAAGATAAGTTATAATAATTAAATGTTAAGTTTTTTTATTATTATTTTTTTCTTTTATTAATTCCAGGTGTAAACAGTGTTCTAGTTTGAGACCAATACAAAATCTAAATTCCCTGGTTGATAAAACATCATGGATTCCTTCTTCCGTGGCAGAAGGTTAGCTAAATTTCTGTGTCCTACAGTTTTTTTTTTTAACAGTTTATGTATAAGATCATCTCACTGATTTATTTTTTAGTATTTGTGGATATGTAAGGCTGAGCTAAAGTTTAACTTTTTTTAAGTGGAACAATTCACAGTGATAATAATGAAAGAGTAAATGTCTAAAATACAGTCATTTTCAAGCATCTGCCAATATTTTTTAATCATGGTACATATTTTAATGTTCAATAATTTGCTTTCTGTCAGTGATCATAAATACAGGTTCTTAAAAAAATCTAGCTCACAGATAGCTGTTACAACTTTTCACTCAATACAAGTCTTTAACTGGAACAAGAATCTTTTTGTATCACATTCTTAACTGTGGTCATTCAGCCTTTGTTTAAAACTTAGTGACAGGGTACTCATTGCATTGCAAAGCAGCATGTCCCCTCTTAATATTGAAGCAAAATCCGCCTACCTATAATTTTCACATGATCCAAGTTCTGTCTACTGGAATTATTCAGAATACACCTGTCCCTTCTTCTGTTAAGATAAACAGACATTGTACATTTTAATATTAGTCAGCCTTCATTGAATATTTATCTCTTCAAGTAGGCACCGTCTCTCCCCTTGGTACTTTCCTACACTTCTTACTATTTTGTTTCTCCTCCTCAGTAAACATTCCACTTTGCCAATGTTCTTCTCAAAGTTTGACATTTCAAGCCGGATGTGGGGCTGCCAATGTAGTTTGGCCAATTCAGAATATAATTAAAATTATTTCCCCAAAACTGGACATTCAACTTCTACTAGCCTAAAATTTTATCGTATAGATATTTATTTGTATACTTGGTTGTATTTTCTTTCTTTTTTAATCCAGCTATATGATACTGCTATCTCATATTTTGTTGTGGTCCTGTGAAATCCCAGGTTACTTTCCTGTGAACTTCTTGATGTCAAACTTGGTCTCCTAATTTCTGTTCTTGCAGTTTTTTTGTTTGTTCATGTGATCACTCAGGGTATGTTTTAAGTTTATCCTTCTTGGTTTTAGTTCACAATTTTTACCTATTGAAACTTTGAAGCCTAAAAACCAATTCCTCTGTATTAACAATACCTGTTGTGTGCCCTAATTCATGTCAGTATTCCCTAATTTATTCTTCTTACTTGCCCCCCTGTTAAATATGGATCCCACAAATGGAAGCTAGTTTAACATCCTGTAAACTTATTAAGTATCTTTCATTTCCAAACAAAAATATTCGTATTAACCTATGAATTCTCTTCTGATTTTAGTATCTCTGATTTCTTCCTTCTTCCTTATCTTACCAAATTATGAAATGTTTTTGTTCTTTCTTCTGACATTTTTGTTCATTCAACCAGATGATATCTCTTAAAAAATAGTGATCTCCTATGCTTATAATACAAAGGGGAGAGTCATGTTAAAAAATATCTAACTACATTAGTTTTTCAGAACATTCTGGTATTTTAATTTTACCTATCATAAGACTAACATACAGTGAGTTGCATTTTATGAATCACTTTCTATGTTTTCTATCAAGGTATCAACTCATTTTAAAGATACATTATATTAGTATTTAATCAAAAAAAGATTCAATTGCTTATATCTTGAGACATTGTCCCTGTGTAAGTATAGTGAAATGTTCCAAAGTAAAGCAGCTAAATGAGCTAAAATATTGGTATTGGGGAGCAAATGTTATATGTATAAATTTTTCTTTATCTCTTGAATGGTTTTAATAAAATTTACAGGTACATACTATAAAACAATTTTAGCTTCATTTTGATAATAAGGAATAGCAGACTCATACAGTTTGATCTTTTTTTCCTTCACTAGTACTGGGTATTGTACCCCTCCAATATGTGTTTGTTATGACATTTACTCTTGATGATGGAACAGGAGTATTAGAAGCTTATCTCATGGATTCTGTAAGTAACAAGTTAGTAAAGAGATTTCTAGTTAAAAAATATTTTTTTGCATTTTAATACATTTATTCATCCTACTTTATTTCTAAATGATTTAAGCCAACAGAAAAGTATAAATTGAATATGAGCACATAAATCTAAAATTGTCTGCGTATGTATCTGGATTTGACACTCTAAATCTTAACATTTGAATAATGAAAAATTGAGGAATAGCGATTTGAGGAAAGACTCATTCTCCATACCATGCAGAAGTTCTACTCTAAGACCAAAAAGCGGAGGATTTGCTATGCTACTTGTACGTAGGAAGTGATTCTAGCCCACATTTCACTGTACTTCACAAACTTCCATATTTCGTGTTAGAGGAAATAAAGTTACTTTAGTAGGGAGATAGATAGTATTATGTGAATCTATGGGGCAGTCCATAAGACTGTCCTCACCTCAGACACAAATTGCATGTTTGGAAGTTCCCAAGGGCCACCCTCAGTTTTGACAATCCACAAGAAAGACTCACAGAACTCACTGAAAGCTCTTATACTCATGGTTACAGTTTATTACAGCTAACTGATAAAATCAGCTAAAGAAAGAAGTGCATAGGGCAGAGTCCAGGAAAGTTTCAAACATGGAGCTTACCATTGTCCTCTCCCCATGGAGTTGTGGACTGAGTTACTTTCCCTGCATCAACGTGAAGCAATATACATGGAGTATTAGCAACCAGGGAAACTCAACCAAGCCTTGATGTCAAGAGTTTTTACTGGGACTCCATCATGTAGGCATGGTTGACTACCCATGAGGCTGATCTCAGTCTTCAGCCCCTCCTGAGGTTAAAATGATACCACATGCCCTAAACTCCCCACACTAAGTTACATTGTTAGACTATCCAGAGTGACCTAAGGTTCCCAGGAAAACAAGGACATTCCTATCAGGTGTGACATCATAAAGGATTAGAGATTATCTCCCACAAGCTAAGGGCAAAGGCCATATCTTTCTTAGGGTAAGGTTAAACTTTTTACTGAACACATTAGAAAAGAATCTGAGGTGAGGTTGAAAAGAGAATTTTTCTACTATCTACACCATTTATTTAGTCATTTATTAAATAAATATTTAATGAGCACCTGCTATGTACCAGGTATTGTTCTGTATGATGGGGATATAGCAGTAATCAAAGCAGGCAAAATCCTTTCCTTCCTAAAACTTATAATCTAGTAGGTGAGAAAAAAATTAAATAAATAAATATATACTATATATCATAGTCTTTTTTTTTTATTGTAACAAAGTTGATTGTATATATCTGTGGTGTACAGAGTTGAACATCAACTCGCACATTCAACATGTGATGCTCACATCAGAATAATTATATTCAATAATATGCACTGTCATTAACACTAGATTTGTTTTCCCATGCACAAATAGTGAGCCTCACTGTTTTTTATTATCAAGGTCATCATCATTGTTATTGTTATTAAGTTAGAGGAACTTAGCTTGATTATATAGATTTCAAAGCTGTTTTAAGATTAAAGTAATAAATCATATTTCGAAGTTCAGACCAGCACTCTAGTTTATTGAATTCTACAATCTTAATAGAGTGAAATAGTCTAGATTATTTTAGTTAATTAGATAATATTGAAATACGTTTGTATTCATAACTTGAAAAAGAGATTAATATAGTTTTCTTTTTCCTCCTATTATATAAAATTTCTTAAGGACAAATTCTTCCAGATTGCAGCATCAGAAATCCTAATGGATGATGACCTTCAGAGAAGTATGGATATGATCATGGATATGCTTTGCCCTCCAGGAATAAAAATTGGTAGGCAATAGTATATTAACAATCCCACTTTTTTTTCTTGAGATAGAACCTAGCATATATCAGATCTTTGGACTTTTAGAAGTCTGAAAGCTTTGAATCCAATGAATTACTAAGTATATAATGTATTAAATTAATGATTTAATTATTTAAATTGAATGATTATTGTGTGATCCACCTTTTGATGAAGACAGTAGCAGGGATAAAATAGGTATGGATCATAAATTCTGCATGAAATGATTTTTAAAATATTTTGAGGCACTTTTGATCGCAGGCACATTTGATGCTGTGTTTATGCATGCAAATAGTTAAAATTATACCAAAAGAGATGAAATTTTGGCAAAAATATTTCCTACAACAGACTCAATTTATCCAGTTTAACATTGATGAATTTTTATTCAGTGTTAAATTTCAGATTTTACAAGTTTTTGTTTTATAACTTTTTAAATAAACTTTAGTTGGTTTCTATAGAAATGTTTGGTTAATCAACTAGATCTTTTTCAGGTCAAATTGTGCTGATTGACACCTGCTGCCACTGAATTTTCTGTCCGTGGCTGTTTTTTCTATTTACGTTGAAACTGCAGACCTAAATCACATTAAGACAGTTTGATTCTTAAAACATTTTTTTTTATCAGTAACAAATTTTACCAGCTGCAGATTTAGCTGTTGTTTAACTTTTATAGGTTTTGGGGTTTTTTTTCTTTAACATTTTGTTCTACATATTTGCAGCATACAGTGTATTGTTTGAATACATATATATGCTGCACAATGATTCACTTAGGGTAGATAGCGTAATCTTGTACACTTTAGTCCACCATTTCTCCTCCCCCAATCCCCCTCCCCTTTTGACCTCTGGTAACCATTATTTTACTCTTTACTTCCATAAGAACCACTTTCTTTTTTTAGATTACACATATGAATGAGATAATGCAGTGTTTCTCATTCTGTGCCTGACTTTAATTCACTTAATGTGATGATTTCCAGTTCCATTCACATTGCTGCAAATAATAGGATATCAGTTTTTCTAATAGCTAAATAGTATTCCATTATGTATATGTAGCACAGTTTTTTTTGTCCATTAATCTGTTGATGGGCATTTAGGTCAATTACTTCTCTTAACTATTGTGAATAACTTTGCAAAGAACATGGGAGTGCAGGTGTCTTTTTGATACATTGATTTCATTTCCTTTGGGTATATACCAGTGGTGAGATAGCTGGGTCGTAAGGTAGATCTATTTTTAGTTCTCCGAGGAACCTCCAAAATGCTTTTCAGAATGACTGTACCTATTTACATTCCCACCCTTTTCTCCACTTCCTTACCAGCATTTGTTATTTTCTGTCTTGTTGATAACAGCCATTCTAACTGATGTGAGATGCTATCTCAACGTGGTTTTAATTTGCATTTCCCTCATGATTAGTGATTTTGAGCATTTTTTATATGCTGTTGGCCATTTGTATGTCTTCTTTTGGGAAATGTCTGTCCAGGTTCTTTGCCCATTTTTTAATTGGGTTATTTGGTTTTTTTGCTGTTAAGTTGTTTGAGTTCCTTATATGTTCTGGATATTAGTCCCTTGTCTGATGTGTAGTTTACAAACACTTTCCTCCATTCTATAGGTTGTCTCTTCACTTTGTTGATAGTTTCCCTTGCTGTGCAGAAGCTTTTTAGTTTGATGTAGTCCTACATGTGTATTTTTGCTTGAATTGCCTATGTCTTTGTAGTCTTGTTCAAAAAAGCACTGCCTACTCACATTTCATGTAGTGTTTCCCCCATGTTTTCTTCTAGTAGTTTCATAGTTTCAGGTCTTAAATTAAGGTCCTTAATCTATTTTGAGTTAATTCTTGTGTATGGTGAGAGATAAAGGTCTAGTTTCAGTCTTATGAATGTGGACATTCAGTTTTCCCAGCACTGGTTATTGAAGAGGCTGCCCTTTCCCCAGTGTATATTCTTGGCACCTTTTTGACAAATCAGTTGGCTGTAAGTGGATAGGTTTATTTCTGGGCTGTCTGTTCTGTTGCATTGTTCTACTTATATGTTTTTATGCTTATATCATGCTGTTTTGGTTACTGTAGCTTTATAGTATATGTTGAAGTCAGGAAGTGTGATGCCTCCATCTTTGTTCTTTCTGTTCAAGATTGCTTTAGCTATATGGGCTCTTTTGTGATTCCATACAAATTTTAAGATTGTTTTTTCCATTTCTGTGAAGAATGTCATTGGTATTTTGATAGGGATTGTGTTGAATGTATAGATTGATTAGGGTGATATGGACAATTTGATGATGTTAATTCTTCCAGCCCAAGAACATGGGATATTTTTCCATTTATTTGTGTCTTTCTTCAATTGTTTTACCAGTGTTTTATAGTTTTCATTGTAGAGGTCTTTCACCTCCTTGGTTTAATTTACCTCTAGGTATCTCATTTTTTTGGTAACTAGTGTGAATGGGATTACTTTAAACGAAAAGGAAACATTGCAACTGATACCATAAAAATACAAAGGATCATAGAGACTATGTGAACAAACTGGAAAACCTAGAAGAAATGGATAAATTTCTGGCCACATACAACCTAACAAGGTTGAATCATGAAGAACTAGAAAACATAAATAGACCAATAACATGTAATGAGATTGATGCAGTAATAAAAAGTCTTCCAACAAAGAAAACTCTAGGACCAGATGGCTTCACTGCCTAATTCTCCCAAATGTTTAAATAAGAACAAATACCATTTCTTCTCAAACTCTTCGAGAAAGTTGAAGAGGAGGGAATACTTCTAAACTCATTGTATGAGGCCAACTAATTGACCTCATAACAAAACCAGAAGAAGACACAACAAAAAAAGAAAACTACAGACCAATCTCCCTAATGAATACAGATGCAAAGATCCTCAGTAAAATACTAGCAAACAGAATCCAACAATACATTAAGAAGATCATTCCCCATAATTAGGTAGGATTCATCCCAGGGATGCAAGGATGGTTCAACATATGCAAATCAATAAGCATGTTGCATCTTATCAACAGAACGAAGGAATAAAACCATATGATCATTTCAGTAGATGCAGAAAAAGCATTTGGTAAAATCCAACACCCCTTCATGATAAAAACACTCAACAAATTAGGTATAGAAGGAATGTACCTCAACACAATAAAGGACATATATGACAAATGCACAACTAATATACTGAATGGACAAAAATCGGGGGCTTTTCTTCTAAGATCTGGAATAGGACAAGGATGCCCACTTTCCCCACAACATAGTACTGAAGTTCTAGGCAGTACAATAAGGCAAGAGAAAGCAATAAAGGGCATCCAAATTGGAAAGAAGTCAGACTATCCCTATTTGCAGATGACAGTCATATACATAGAAAACTCTAAAGATTCCACCAAAAGATTAACTAAAACTGATAAAATTAATTCAGTATAGTGGCAAGATACAAAGTCAGCACACAAAAAGCCTTACTATGCACTAATAATGAAATAACAGAAAAAAGTCAGGAAAGTAATCCACTCACTATTGGTTATTTTTAATGAGGCTTTACTTTCTCCTGGACAATCTTTGCATATTATAACACTCACAAAAAGGCAGGAATTTTTATTCACCTGCAACAAAATTTAATATATATACTGTTTCAGTTTAATAGTTTGTGTTGGCTGTTTGGATAGATTTCTGGACGTAAAACTCCCATGTCAGAAAGTATGGGCCTGGTAGGCGTTTGATGTATACTACCAGATTGCCTTTCAGAAACATTTTTTACCTGTTTATAATTCTAACGGCAGTGTAGAAAAGTGTCCGTCTCGCTTCACCCTGGCCATTTAGAGTACTGTATTAAATGCCTTTCAGACTCAAACTTGAAGAAACGTAAGAGCCTTCTCTAGAATTTATAAATAGATTTACTGTGGTCATAACCAAAGCTTGGAAATGGCATCTATGGCTGCGAGCATTGCTGGGCTCAGTGCCTGCTATCTGATGGGAGTTTTAGTTGGACAGTTGTAAGGGCTTGAGCTTATTTGAAGTTCAGGTTCTGTTTCTTTGCAGTCAGTTAAGAAAAAAAAACAGGGGAGGTCAGTAAGCAATCATCAGAAAAAAGGAAAAAAATTGGGCGTGAGATGGCTTACTGCCTTTCCTATCAAACATTTTCAAAATCCCACATTTAACCACTTTCATCTGTTGTTGGGAAAAAATTCAAATTAGTCAGAATTGCTGCAAAACACCATGAATCCACTGTGTATTTGGAAGAGTGGATAGTCTTAAATTTGGTAAGTGCGTTTATTTACTTTTCAAGGTAGATTTAGATGTTAATTTTTCTAGCTAAGCGTTGTGCCTACATACATATTTCAGAGTTAATTTGTTCGTTTTCAATGGTTAAATAACATTTTCTTTTTGATTTGTAGATGCATATCCATGGTTGGAATGCTTCATCAAGTCATATAATGTGTTGAATGAAAATGGAGTAGAGCAGCAAATTTGCTATCAGATTTTTGACACCACAGTTGCAGAAGATCTTGTCTAATGTTGCCATTCAACTTAACATATGTAAAATGTAATTTTTAAAAACATTACTCTTTTCTATGAGATTGTTATAAACACGTAAGAGATTTAGCTGTTTTTGAACTAACATCCACATTTCCTTTTTAACTACCATTTGAGATTTTTTTGACAAATAGACTTTATGTTATCTTAATGCCTTCTTGCAAGTATGTTAACAATGTTCCTGACTCTCAAAATATCCATATGACGGCTTCCAGGGAAATAAAAGAAAAAGAGGTATTAAATAAGGACTATTTTTTCACTTACTCTTTGCAGTTCTCTTTTCAGAGAAGCTATTTTGTTACCCAACACTAAAAAGCACTTTTCCTATTGGTTTTTCCATGTGTCAGCCACTTATTTCTCTGCACCTGCCATCTCTAGTTGGGCTTCTTTTCCTGCCCTGACTTTTATATTAGCAATGTTGATGATGTTAGCATGGGAGTGGGATTAGAAAATGTCCTTGCCTTGAATCTCTTTGCTTTTATTGGGTGCAAGGTAAATAATGCCTACTGGTTTTGTTTTGTTTTTGTACAGAAGCATCTGCTTAAATAAGTACTGCTTAAAAAAGTGTTTGTCTGAGTGAGCTATAGTATTCTGAAAAGGTGATTTGCTTTAAGTAGAAGTGGCAAAATTGCTTTGTTTGGGTGCTGATACTGACCGTTTTAAGATAAATCCATTTCTTTAAGACCTGAATTATGGGCCTTGATTACTTGTTTTTCTCCGTGATATTAGAAATTATTCCATTCCACCTCAACCTAATAAAATGGTCAGGTTTATGATGTTAGAGACTTATTTATGTTACCCTTTTTTAATAGTATTATGTGTAAAATATACCTATATTACAGGTTTTAACTAATTGAATGAGGTGTTATTTCAGTATAATTGTCTGCTTTTTACCTGACAATGTCTGTCAAATTTAAAATCATGAATATTCAATTTTATACACATATTTCTATATATTTGTATATAAGTATAGATTTGTGTATGTTATTTGCTAGAGACTAAGAGATACAGATCTGCCTACTTCGATATTAGTGAAGAATAAATAATTGCACACATTTCAACTGTTTTTTTTTTATTTGCCCTATGTTGAGCTGAGGAATGCTATGAGGTAAAGAAAGCAGTATGGAAATATAGCATAAATGCAGATATTTAGGGCTGGCTACACTCCAGGCACTGTGCTAAGCACTTAACATATATTTGAACTTCACAGCAACCCATTCCTGATAAGAAAACAGGCTCGACTGATAAGCTGAGTTGACTAAATACACAGTTTTTAAATGCTAGAGCCCGTGCTTGAATTCAGATCATCTGTATTCAGAGCCTGTGTTGTTAACCACTCTAGAATTCTGGAACAAAAAAAGCTAGCATGAGGTTTTCTGCAGATGAGTCCTGCCTTAAATATCTGAAGTAACATTGAAAATAGATTATAAGAGGAGTCAGTGTGTTTTCTTGCACTGTCAAAAGGCTTTTAACATTTTATTTGCAGAAAGAATTGAGTAACTGATTTTCTCTGCTCATAGTAGTTCACCCATCATCTGCTTATGAGCTTGTTTGAGACAGTGAGAAACTGATTCTGTTGTTTTAGAAATGTAAACTCTTGGTTCAAAACATTTTCAGAACTTTTCAAAACTTGATTGAACAAGTGTGTGTGCTTCAGTGTGGATGATGTGCTAGAGATACAAAGATTAAAACAGACATTTTCCGTGCCTTCAGGAAGCACCCAGTCCAGAAGAGTAGGAGTCAAAAGGTGGCTCAAGTTCCCACTATGAACCTGTGGGATCTCTGGGTTTACAAAGGAAAACTCTTCCTATGAATCTTCATGATGATAGATCATTTTTCTTTTCCTTTTTCTTTTTTATTTTAAATAAACTTCCTCACTGTCATATTTCTTTTGATTTGTTGTGGGGGGTTTTTTGGGGTTTTTTTTTTTTTTTTTTTTCTTTTTTTTTAAACTTTTCAGTTTTGTCTGAGAAGATTTCCATCAATATCTCGTGTTTATCTGTTGGCAATGTATACACCTTACCCTAATCAGGAACCCAGAGTATTAGGAGAATTCTGTTTCTGGAGCAACAACTAGAGATAGTTCATTGTGTCCAGATTTGATCCCTGTCCCCTTTATCTGAATCCTGGTAGGCTTTTCCTGACAGATTTAAAATAACATCAAGAAAGTACTTTGTATACAGCCTCTGTCTCAATTTCCAGTTTCTGCAACTTCCATTATTATAGATGCCACTGACTGGATTGTCTCTCGCTGTCAATGCGTTGTTCTATATGAGGAAGAGAATGCATGTGTTAGAAAATCTAAGGCAGTTGATCTTTATCTAGATGCAATAATGAAAAATGCACTGCTTATAGGTTCTTTCTGTGGCCACCTTCAATTAGGCAGTTTTATTTGAGGGAACTATACATGTCAACACACAGTGTGTCATTCTTTGTGTCTTTTTACCACTGGTCATAGTGCACACTAGGAATAGTTTCTAAATGAGCATAGAAAGACTAGTGTTGATGGGATAGAAGAAGCTGAATATGTCTCTGTCTACCTTAGAAAGCCATTTTCACATAATAGGGCTCTGGCTGTCTAGGTTTCTTACTGGTACAGGTCCTCTGTCTTAGCTAGTTGCAAGTCACAGGAATGGGCCAAAATCTTTTCCCTGCCCATGTCCCAGCTGACTGTGCTGTTCTGTTTCAGAAGTCACAGCATGAGATTGTCACTACTTGTGACTCAATCCTGCCAGCTTTCTTTTACACTTTCTGGAAGCTTTCTTTGGTGTAATGGTTAATTTTAGGTGTCAACTTAACTAGATTAAGGGATACTTAGAAACCTGGTAAATCATTATTTTGGGGTGTGTCTTTGAGGGTGTTTCCTTTAGAGATTAGCGTGTAAGCCTGAGTGAAGAAAGATCCTGAGGGATCTTTCAGTTGAGGTAAGGATCCATCCTCCATATGGGCGGGCACCATCCAATCTGCTGGGGGCCCTGGAGAGAAGAAAAACAGAGGATAAAGCTCACTGTTTGCTGGAGCTGGACTGTACACTTCTTTCCTGTCCATGGACATCAGAACTCGTCTCTTAAGCCTTTGGGTTCCAGGACTTAGAACAGCAGCACCTCTGGCCCTCAGGTCAGTGCTGGCCCTCAGGTCATTGGCGTTAGACTGAGAATCACACCATTGGCTTGTGTTTTTTGGACTTGAACTGAGCCATGCTACCAGCATTTGTTTGCAGATGTCCTATGGTGGGACTCCTCAGCCTTCATAATCACATGAGGCAATTCTAATAAATCCCCGCTCATATATTTATATACTTATCCTATTGGTTCCATCTCTCTGGAGAACCCTGACTGACTAGTACAATTGGTATCTGGGGAAAAAAGCTAAATTCTTCTGATTATTTTCAGTGTTGTTTTAAATTTTGGCTTTACATTTCATCAAGTTTTGTTTTTGTCCAGACATTTTTTTAATTAAAAAAAGTAATATAGTAAGAATTTGAAACAACTTGTATAAGGTACGTAAAGTTGAACTAATTCCTACCCTAACTAGTACCCCAGAAGTAACCACTTTTAACAATTTGGTGTATAATTTTCCATACTTTATGAGAACATGTATGTGTATGTATACTTTTTTTTTAGTAGCATCATGTTATAAGTATAGTTCTGCAACTTTCTGTTGTCACTTTACATAGTGGACTTTATTTTAATCATGTCTATACACATGGAGAAACTGCTTGTGATTACTCAGCATAAATAACTTTTCCATGGATAATTCTTTGATTATTTTGCTTTCTATTTCTGTTATGGTTTTTTGACTAAGTGATCTATTTCCTATTGTGTTAATTTTGGAATTTTATATTTTCACAAGATTATATCCTTATCTGTTTTGTTCCTTTATTGCCTTATAGTTATTTATCATATTATTTTATTACTTATTTTAGTCTGTATTTTGTTTGATGTTATTTCCCCTTTAAATAAATGTAGAGACTCTGGGACCTGGTTTCACTATATCCTCTGGAAGTGTTCAGGTAATCAGAATTTTGGAGATCTGTCCAGAGTTTCTAATACAGACTAGGACTCTGCCACAACACACTTGTCCTGAAATATTCTTTCATGCTTTGAAGAATTCATTGTGAAGAGAATGTTAATTAAGAAGGGAGAACGCCTTCTGTGATGCTTTTCATTAACAAATTCAGGTTCTGTGATAACAATGAGTCACACTAAAGTTCTAGGACATCTTGTTAGGGAAAATAAAATATCTCTTTCTGTGCTGGCCCCTCAGGATCTCAGATTGTGTCAAAATCTACCCATTCCAGGAAAAAAAAATACCTAGGCAGCTAATAAAATCTGGGCTTAATTATCTTTTTTTTTTCCCCCTGGTACTTGGAAATAATATTGGAACTCACTAAGCAGGAACTCACCAGTGCTCTCAGGTATGTGACACCATATCTTTTGGCAGTCAGGAAATTAATCACTAATAGTATATAATTTTTCCTTGCTGTATTGTGATTTAAGCTGTTAGGAAGTTTGAGATTAGTTATGGTTTCAAAGTAATGATCATCTTAGGTACAGATAAATGTCTCTTCCATTCAGGACTGCATTTGATGGGTTTAGAAGTGCTAGGCATCAATTACAATGATAAGGATAATGTATCATTGTATGCGGGAGCTCTCTCTCAGATGTGCCATTTGGTGAAATATGGATAGTTCAGAGATTCCTACTGAGTTTAGACTATAGCAATATCTTAATAACTTCATTTTCGGTTTTTTTACCCCGTGAAATCTAGGCCACAAAGTTACATTGGTATAGTGTCTTTGTGTGTGTGTGCACGTGTCTGTATGCTTCCTCTCGTTCTCTGCTTTGAGTTCACTTTGCAGGGTACTGTTTTGGAATCTGCCTGACAACGTAGTCCACAGTTGCCAAAGAAAGCTGTTTTCATCTTGTGTGAAAGTTTCTTTTGTTTCATCTCTTTTGACAGTACAGCATTTTGAAGATTTGGAGCATGTGTCTGTTAAAAACCTTACCCTTCCTATGATCTGTTAATAAAATATTACATCAAATTTTGTTGTAGTTTCTAAATAAGTACCTCTTTTTATATAATGCTGGAGCTTTTTTTCCCCAATACCTTCAAAATGGTTTTTTCTTTCTTTGAAATAGGAACCCCCAGATAAAAGCTAATTTGTTTTTACATAAACCTTATTCCTCAGCAAATTTTTGTCCTCCATGAAGAGGTGCAGTCCTTCTAGAATTTAATTTAATTTAATTTAATTTATTGCCAACTTTAGCTGTTTCATGTGACTTTCTGTCCCAAGCTTCCATAAAAGTTAATACATACATAAATAATTAATATAAAAGGTCTCTTGTAGCACTACAGGGAAGGTAAGACATTTTAAAACCAAAATTATTAACCAGTTAGGTTAAGTGAAAACATAGCTTGAAGTAGATAGACATGGTTGTGGTTTTATTTTGAGATAGGACATCCTATATGCTTATTCAACATTAGATAAGCTCCTAGAATAATGAGCTTGCCCTTAAATTTTGGAATCATTGATGAATATTTCTGCACAATGATCAAAACTTAAATGGAGATTAAGATAAAGAATACAAAGTATAAAATAGGTATTTGAAAGTCAACTCATATGTTACATTAATTTATTATCATATGGTGTCTGTATCCAAAAAGGATTTGAGGTGATTTACAATAAAAGACAAACATGGGATGTACCTTTAGAAATAGGGCAAGAAGGGCCGGCCCGGTGGCGCACTGGAGAGTGCGCTGCTTGGGAGCGTGGCGGCGCTCCTGCTGAGGGTTTGGATCCCATGTGGAGACCGGTTCCCGCTCACTGGCTGAGCACGGTGCGGGCGGGACACCAAGGGTTGCAATCCCGGTACCGGTCAGTAAAAAAGACAAAAAGGAAAAAAAAGAAATAGGGCAAGAAGACAAGAGCCAAATAAAGAGTGGCGTGTTAAAATAGTCAAAAATCCTAATCTAACGTACTCTACAGGTCTTGATCAAAAGTTATTATACATGAAAACGCAACAGGTTATATTCTTATTAAAGAACAAAAGTTATTACA